TATGGGGATGTTGCTTTAAAGGAGGCAGTGTAGGTAATGGTATTTCCTAGCATCAATAGTTATACAGGTTGGTACCATGATGATTATTGAGTTTTTCTGGAAGATTGTTGTGTGTGATGTTGAAAGTTATATTCCTGAAAGGATTTAATAGTGCTTGGATATTCAATATTATTAATAATATATTGAAATACTGGAATTTATTAGAAGATACTCAGTCCTATCTAAATTATGTAAGAGGATATCCATTCCATGTTTCGAGTTGAAGCAACATCCCTATTTCTGATCTCATATAAATAGGAATATATAAGAATTGAATATCCTAGATTAGATTTCAATATTCCAATATATTATTCGTAATATTTGTATGTAAGAATAATTACAAGAGTAATATATTACTTTTTCAAACGTACTAATTATCATGTTAATATAATAATACGCGTCACGGTTTTACTGTAGTATACTATTGCCTACACTGATAGGAGGCGAGGTGCGAGATGTGAGGTAGAGCGAGAATGGTGACGGAGAGAAAAGGAAAGAAGGAAGAGGAAAGGAAGAAATAGGAGGGTAGTCGAGAGAATGAGACAGGAGAGGAGATGAATGGAGGGAAGGAGTAGGATGTTAAGCGAGGGAATAGGAGACGGGAGAATAAGGAGAAGGAAGTGAGGGAGAGAAGTAAGCAGGAATGGAGATATAAAGTGGGAAACGAGATTCAAGAAACAGAGGGTATAGACCAGAATAACAACTCTAAAGTTCTCGCTTAGGTACTTACTCATTTACATGGGAGAAACTCCCCTTAAACTTTTGAGTGGTTATAATCTACTGTGTGATAAATCTTCCTTTTTCTACATACCTTTTACTACATACCTTCTACTATATACCTTCTACTATAGTATGTTTATCTAGAGAGAGATTGTATTCTGATATGAGATATGTAAGATTAATATCCTCCCTAATACTATTAATCTTTTTCCATGCCTGTTTATTATATAAATAATCGAGTGGTTGTGAAGAATACGTAGATATATAGGTAGATAGTAAGTATAATATATAACATATAAACCTCAATACTTCAGTCTTGCCCACCTTATAATATCAGAAGATAGACCTCTAAATTCAACGATTTTATACTATGTTTTTTGTCTCTTGATGAGGGATGTGTGCTCACCCACACCATTATTGGAATAAACTTACTTCTGACCATGAGATAATGAATACCTAGGTAGGTACATTCATTTTAGAATCTCGGGAGATGAGAGAGATCCTTACTCGATTTACTTTTCCTATCAATCTCACAATAAGCTGTGTAGGTATTCAAGTTCTAGATGCCAACCGCTATCATTATTCCATTCCGTAGATTTCCTATACTGATACGTATACTCATACTCACCGTCATATTTACAAATATAAAAATAACATAACATAATACGATATACTATTCATTATTCACAGACGAGTATTCGATACCGGTATGTATAATTTAGGAGATTCAAAGTAAAGATAATATATACTTCGTCGTTATATTCTATCTATCTATCTATCTATCTATCTATCTATATATAAGCCAGGTACTCAACTTCTCACGAGTAACAATCAACAGATTACCACGATCCATTCTTTCAATCTATTGAATTCGAGATCTTTTAATACCTACCCAGGATTCAAATTTCATCACCAATTCCATACCATTCCGACCATTTATAACACACCTACCTAGGTACCTAAGCCATCGTCTTGTAGTGAAATAGATGGATAGAATTACAAGATTGGGAGACGAACTAATAGTTACATTGAATCCTCGAGATGATATACACACCCTTAACTTATCGAATGAATCTGAATCAATACTCAACACTCAAATCAACACTCTACAAGTTATACACCATTCTACTCCATTCCGTTCCATGAAAAGAAATACCCACGTGCTATTTACAATTTCCTTTCTTTCTTTCTCTTCTTTCTTTTTATTACTTTCTTCTTTCTTTCTTTTTTTCTCAAAGTCTAAATGAGTGAGGCTGAAGCGGACAGAAACCAAAAACACAACAACACGAGTCATGATTTCGCCTCACAACTTCTTGTAAACATTGAAAGTATTCAGCTTTATCTAGGTATATAATACATAATACATAAGATCAAATATCAAATATTAAATAGTAAATAGTAAATAGTAAATACTCGTATAGTAAACAGTAAACAGTAAACAGCAAATAACAAATCTGCATTCATACATCATACATCAAACAGCTCGATCATCACGAACGAAAAAAATCAAAGACGAATACAGCCACGAATGAGTGGCTGAGTGTGAGGGGTGGGTAGGTGTAGGTATGAGGTATACGCGAAGCAATCCTCAGACGGGGTAGGTAGCAAAGAAGAGTGGAATCCTCATGAAGGGACACGCTTGCGACGCGTCTTTTTTTTGCTTTTGAGGCTTTGGGAGGCGTTTAGAAGGTTTGGATGGATGGTGGAGGGTGGAAAGGAGGGAGATATTATTTGCCCACCTCTTTCTTTGAATTTTGGGGCTGTGGATGAAATTTTTGAAAGGAAGCTGGGGGGGGGAGGGAGAGGTATTGTGGATTTGGGGATGGTATTGGGGGTTGGGATAGCGTGTTGGAATATTTATCTCTGTGGTCAGGTAGGTGGGTAGGTATATTGTGGATGGAATGGGGAATTGCGATATCTATATGGTCAGGTAGGTGTGTAACGAAGTAGCTATGCGGTTGAGGCATGTAGGTAAGATGAGGATCAGGGTTTGAAGCAGGTACGTAAATGTGTAACCCGTGAATTTGTATATTTCTATCCAGTGAGCATGGCGATCATCTTGGGCAGTGAAGTCAGATACTCGAGTGCGTCCGAGAGATGTGTGCATTAATTGAGTGTGTCATATAATCTAAATCTTCCATCGTCATCGTGGACATTATATTATGGCCATTATATCATGGTCATCATATGATAGTCAGCCTCATCTTCTCAAGGGGCTTTTATGGAGTATGTCTAGGACCTTTGGAGGGAAGTCAAGAGAAGAAAATTCCGAGATTCGCGATAGAAAGCCCCGAGAGGTTTTGAAGATGGTCGATCTTGAACGTTTTTTGGTTGCTTACTTGCTTTTGGGTTGGTGATTTATTTGGTGATTTATTTGGTGATTTATTTAGTGATTTATTTGGTGATTTATTCTTTGGTGTTTGGGGTTGGAATTGGGGTTATGGGTGGAATTGAGACAATAGTGCTACTGTGTATCATACATAATTTGTGTTTTGGTTAGGAGGAAGTTCTATGGGGGTGTGGGTGAAGATGGAAGGACGGGTTGGTTGTGAATGTTGGATTTTGACATTGGGAGAGGTGTACGATGTGATGGATTGAAGGAGTTGGAGAAGATGTGTGTATGTAAGATGTATGTATGATGATATCATTGTCAATTAATGGAGACAGGGAGATGAAATCACGAAAAGGATTGCTGAGTGAAGTGATTGATAATTGTTGATAATTGCTGATAATTGATGGATAAGCAGTCATGTTCGGGTTTTCAGATGCTTGGTGCGAAGAGCGAATATGGAGTACGGAGTACGCATGGTGAATTGTGGATTGCGTTTATGGATTGTGTTTATGGATTGTGTCTGGGTCTGTGAGCTGGTGTGAACTGTGTACAAATAATAAAATTGTGTAGGTTCGAGGGGATGAGGAGAATTGACCAATGAGGGAGGTGTAGCGACAGGTTCTTGGTTTTGAGGATACCCAGGATAAAAGAGTTTACTTCGTCCGACTTCATTCATACAAGTGGAACGACGATAGGTTGTGTGTAAGATGTAACTGTTGCGAGAGAGGTTGAAACATAAAACGGATGCGCAAGATAAAGAAATGAGCAAAGGTCGGAAGGTCTGTATCGGTGATGGAGCATATTGATTCTTGGCCGGTCAATTACAGGCTACCCAAGAGGCACGATGGCCGGCGGTTTTATCCCAATTTATGTGGAGAGAAAGGGTTTGGGTCCTGTTCTTGGTCTCGTTCTTGGCCTCGTTGGTCGGATAATGATAATTGTGATAAGCGATGATCTTGGTGGGAGGGTACGTGGATTGAGGGTGTGATGTATAGTATCGGCCTAGGGAGTGAGGATTAATTGATGAGATGTATAGGTATAGTAAAACCATGTTGATATTAATGTTCGGAAGCGTCCTAGGTATGAGGATGTGAAGTATCAAATTTGGTTGACAGATGGAATACTTGTTAGTATGTTATTACATCCCTACCTACTCACTACTCAATTCCTTACTACCTACCACTTATCACCTCCTCCTCCCCTTTCCTCCATTCAGCTTCCATTTCTCCCCAACCCCAGCCTTCAACTAAGCCCGAATCATTTGCTTCCCGATGCTAGACCAAGACCATGCAAACAAAAGTATGTCCTACTACATACAGACAGTGGTCAAAGTGAACCCGATTTCCCCTAAGAACGCAAGGTCGCAAAAGATGCTTGTGCAAGATCCCAAAGGAGAAAAAGTGGTCGGGAGAGGGAAATCTTAAAGTCTGGAATTCGCGATGAAATGGGATTAAATGCTTGACCACCGGGAAACCTGTAAACTCGAGACGGCCAACTCACTCCCTCACCCACGCGCTTTGTTTCGCTTGATACTCTTCTCTCACAAAAACCAACGAGTCGAGAGAATGGGGAACAAGGTAGTAGCAAATGAGATAAATACGATAAATAATCGTAAAAATAGATAAATAATGACAAGAACTTATCCAGATTCTGTACTGTGAAGGCAGATAAATATGAATAATATGGAGAATCCTAAAATATAAACACATCATTCAAATACGAACTTTGCCCCATTCCACGTACATTTACCATCGTCTTGTTATCAACAAGTCCAACTTCCATACTGCACTACGGTACTGTACCCAGGGTAGTCTCTCAAATCATTATCCGAAACATTGCCCTTCGTATTGAGATGTTGTATGATAACTCTCTGACAAAGCCATATCCCACATGAAAAGGTTCCCCAAAGTTTAAATGCAGAAGAGGGAGAAGACGAAGAAGACCAACCCAAATCCAACTGCGCCACTCTCAAACGGTTTGTCCTCTTCTTCTCTAGTCATCTTCTCCATCAGGTCAGCTCATGACAGGACAGGACAGGACAGGACAGGATCTCAATACCACAAGATTGGAAATCCAAACTGGAGCACGGTCCAACTTAGCGGACGACAAACCACCGATTCATTCTTCCTTAAACCGAACCTTGTCTTGACTTAACTTGTCTCTTGTATCTACATTATCTCCTGTTTTGGAGATTCAATCAATTACACAATTTCACAATCCTCTCTTCATCAACATCGTTCATATAATAAGTGCGAGTGGCAGCTCTTGGTAAAGCTGTGATACTCGATATCAATGACTCAGTTATTTCACAGTGCATCTCCAAATTCTCTTCCTTCCAACAACAACGAGAAGCGGAATTTGTCCGGTTCCTCGATGTCGTCGAACAAGCATTCCAATGGCCACAGTCCATTTCCTCAAAAGTTGAAGAACTTCTTTCGAATCAACAGTTCAACAAATCACAGTGAAAAGAGCGATCCGTCATTAAAGTCCGAAGGTAAATCAGGCTTTCGACAATCCAAATTCTTTCCCGGTGGTGGACGAAATCGATCAACGACAGTAGCAAGCGAAGGCAATGCATTAGATGATGGCGTCAGTAGTCCCACCGCGCATGCGAATCCATACTTTGCACACCAAGGTCCTCCTGCCCTGCGACATCACGATGATGCATCGATACCTCCAAGCCCTCCCGATACTCCCAGTTTCAAAGTCGATACCGTTCCAGGTGTGAATGATCAAGCCACGGCAGCTGGCAAAGAAGAATTGGCTCGAAAATTAAGAAGGGTCGCCAGCGCTCCTAATGCACAAGGTCTCTTCTCAGGTAAGGGTGATGGCGATCGACCGGCGACTGCCGAGCTGGGAAAGGAACCTTTGGTACACAATGCTAGCACGACAATGTTGAGTATGGTCGAGGGAACAGATGCTATGGGTGTAGGTGCAGAAGATGACTTGGCTCCCTTACAACCCCCAAGTCTTCGAAACAATCCAGCCTTCAGGAGGACGTACAGTTCAAATTCCATAAAAGTACGTGATGTCGAGGTAGGGCCGGGGAGTTTTGATAAGATCAAGTTGATTGGGAAGGGAGATGTGGGAAAGGTATACTTGGTGAGAGAGAAGAAGAGCAGCAGATTATACGCAATGAAAGGTATGCAATCTGACGATACATGCCTTGTGTGTCATCTAACAGTCTTTTAGTATTGAGCAAGCAAGAGATGATCAAGCGCAACAAGATCAAGAGAGCGTTGGCAGAACAGGAAATCTTGGCTACGAGCAATCATCCATTCATTGTCACCTTATACCACTCCTTCCAATCCGAGGATCATTTATATCTATGCATGGAATATTGCAGTGGTGGAGAATTCTTTAGAGCTTTACAAACTCGCCCAGGCAAATGTATACCAGAAGATGATGCTAGATTTTATGCAGCGGAAGTCACTGCTGCGTTGGAGTATCTACATTTGATGGGTTTCATTTATCGAGATTTGAAACCTGAGAGTAAGTTGTTTCTTGAAGCTGGGGCGTCTGAATATTAACAAGCTTAGATATTTTACTCCATCAATCGGGTCATATCATGTTGTCAGACTTTGATCTTTCGAAACAATCGGCCCCTGGCGGAAAACCAACCATGATTCTTGGCCGAAACGGCACAAACGTAAATTCCCTCCCAACGATCGACACGAAGTCATGTATAGCCAATTTCCGAACAAATTCATTTGTTGGAACCGAGGAATACATAGCGCCAGAAGTTATCAAAGGATGCGGTCATACAAGTGCAGTTGATTGGTGGACGTTGGGAATTTTGATTTATGAGATGTTGTTTGGCACAACACCTTTCAAGGGAAAGAATCGAAATGCAACATTTGCAAATATTTTGAGAGATGATGTTCCTTTCCCGGAACATTCTGGCTCCCCTCAAGTCTCAAAGTCGGTTACCCTTCACAGATTGACTGTCCAAAAATACTAACAATCTTTAGTCTTTGCAAATCAGTAATTCGAAAGCTCCTCATCAAGGACGAGAATCGACGATTGGGGGCTCGAGCTGGAGCTTCTGATGTCAAAACTCACCCATTCTTCCGCACAACTCAATGGGCACTCATCAGACACATGAAGCCTCCCATGATCCCCCACCAAGGTCGCGGTATTGACACGGTCAATTTCAGAAATGTTAAAGAGAGCGAAAGTGTTGATATTAGCGGATCAAGAACCTTAGCGTCAGCTAAAGGAGTACCCCTCGACTCTGGCCTGGCAACACCAGGTGCTGCCGAACTCGAAGTTGATCCATTCGAGGAATTCAACAGTGTCACACTGCACCACGATGGTGACGATCACCACCAAACCGTGGATCAACATAATGGAAGATATGACGGTCGGTGATTGTAAGTTTTGGCGAATATCATATCAGAAACTGTTTATCGTCTATGCTACGTGATGGAGTTTGGGGGAGTCACTTGGATGATTGATAGGACAAAAGACATCTCGCGAGCATATTTTCCTATGTCATTTCTTTGATTGCAAGGACGGGATGATTTTAATACATTGCTTGCGGTTGATATTCAGTAAGCAGACGAGTGTTGGGAGCAAAAACACAGATACGAGACTAACGCTACGCATTTTACCTCTTTCTGTTTGTAAATACTGAAACTGGGAGAAGGGAGCAGAAAGACAAGGGTATGGGGTTTTAAATTTGGGAATTTTTGAGGTATAGGGAAAAGAGTTTGAGAATTTGTGTTGTTTTCCCCAGAATGTTCGGTCCATTGACTGGATTGTGTTTATTAGCAAAGATTTGGGGTTCATTGTGGGGTATGGCGCGTACCGGTTGAGAGAATGGCGTTTGACTTTTCTAGCTCTCCTTTTCTGTGGCTGATTATGATTGGGAGATGGGAGATGGGGAATCGGAGCCGAAGGGAAAGGTAGGTTAGATGGGTAGTGAGGATTGGCAGGTTAGAGGAACATGTTGATAGGTCAATAAGTTGATAGGAATTCTACTTCTTCTTCAATGAAGGGGTTGGTTTAACTAGGCAAATTTGCGTATAATTTGTGAGAGTACGTCTTCAAAGTGGTGATGCAAAGCCTTGCCGTGCAGTGTGTCACGTGTTGGGTTCATTTAGAGAGGCAAGTGCGACTACGTTCCTACTTCTTTGATCAGTTCGTGAGCAAGAATCTTAAGCGCTAAGGAATGATTTCTCGCACATTTGAGTTTCGATAATGTTATACTCTTAGTCAATCACGAAGGGTCGGAATGCACAGAATTGACGCGGATATCGTTTTCATGTCCTTCGGCCTGCAATTTCTTGCTTTTGATTTGACATCTCTAAATGCAAGTTTTTACAACGCATGAATGTCAAAATGACGTGTGGATTTAAATGAATGATGTGTTTTTCGCTTCTCTCTGTCGGCAAAACAATCGTCACCTTTGAGTGCAATAATGGTAGGGTGAAACATTTCGATGCATATGACCTACGAGATGCACATTTTGGATGTGACAGTCGCTTCAAGATCAAGTTATTCGAGGAGAGCCGGGGTCGGTGAGAGAATTAGGACAAGATGGGCGGAAACGGTGTGTAGTGTGATTGAAATATGTGTATGTAGTGGAAGATGGAGATGCGGGGAGCCGGTGAGGGCTGTGCAGTGGTGAGTGGTACGGAGAGCCTTGTCGAGTTTGTCTCCATCTTGTTGTTTTTGTCCTTCTGTTTTGAACCTACGTTTTGCTGATGGTTTATAGTATACGCTGATGGTATATCAATCATTAACTCAGCAGCTATGCCTATCGGCAAGAGATTCAAACGAGGTCTTAGCTCAATCAAAGCAAATCTTAAGAATCGCTCTGAACTTCTGCGAGAGCCCACTCCGACTGAATCGAGTGTTGATACAACGAGTTCTGTAGCGGTATCTATCAGGAAGAGTGGTGAATCTGTAATTTGGGATGGCAAGGAAGCAGCTAGTGAGCAGGCATACAAGCCCACACACGATGATCCAGCTTGCTTGATAGCAGACTCATTAACAACCACCGCGGATGATTCGCAGCTCTCAATTGAGGATGACCTTTGGTTCCAAGCTTCGGAGAAGCTCAAGGCTGATGATCCGGAACTGGTATTTAATTTCGTTACTTCATCACAAAAAGCACTTCTGACTAGCTAACTTTGATACATGTAGTATAAGCAATACTCATTTATCATCCGTCGCGAAGCAGACAAGAGCAATGAAAACCACCCCAACGAGTCCGCAAAGTCCCTAGCAAATGCAGCAACGCTTCTCAAAGTGTGCCAAAATAGCCTCGAAACCATGAATGCCCCAAGTGGCAGAGCTGATAAAGTTTTTAAGAAGACGATTGAGATTGTAGGCCTGGCTAAAGATTTCGTGGGGTCTGTTGTAAGTGCCGAGCCTCATGGAGCAGTAGCTTGGGCAGGTGTCTGTCTTTTTCTTTCGGTATGTTTTTGTGTACTCAGAGCTTACTTAGTCTCTGCCTTTTCTTATTTCCTTTCCCGACTTTCGATGCTTATGGTTTGCTAACAAAGGGTTAGCTACTTCTCAATCCTTCCCAACAAGATGAAGCTTGTCGCAAAGGTCTTGAGGAACTACCCTTCATTATCCACAAGTATAGTCTAGTGGAAAGCATTTGTGCAATTAAAAGCTCAAGTTCAGCAATTGCCACCACGGCTAACATGTTGTCCAGTGGAATTATCGACTTCTATGCCAAGATACTCAATTTTCAGGCTGAGGTTGTGTGTCAATTAAATCGATCAACGATCAAAGGCTATTTGAGAAAAGTTTTCCAAACCGACAAGTGGAAAAATATGCATCACGATGTCTTACGCATAGAAGAGCGATGTTGGAGTATAGCCCAGACGATTGATAGCGATCGTTGTATTAGGTTATCGAAGGAATACAGTAGCAAACTGGCAGAGCTTCATACCATAGGGCGAGTCCTCAGGTTCACATCCAAAAAGATGATAAGCTGATTGTCATTCAGATCAGAGCTCCTTGGAGTTTCAAGTCAAACATATCAGGCTGTTGTTGATATTGGAATAGAATCTAAGCAACGCGAAAGAACCAAGAGGAAACGGATTGTCTGCAAGTTTTTCGTTCGGGTAACCTTTACGAAATACAGCAAAAGCGTAATCCAGATCGAGTCCCGGGCACCTGCGAATGGCTTTTGAAATCGCAGGCATTTACTGACTGGAGGGACAAGAAGAGCGCGGGTCTACTCTGGATCTCAGCTGATCCAGGCTGTGGGAAGTCCGTCCTGTCGAAAGCCTTTTACAAAGAAAATCTAGTGAGCTTTTCTTCCGCCACAATCATATGTTACTTCTTCTTCAAGGATTCATCCCCTGAACAGTGCAGCATTACGAAAGCAGTTGCGTCTTTGCTTCATCAGCTATTTTTGTCTAATGGTAGTCTGCTCAAACATGCTATGACCAAGTGGAACAAAAATCGAAGCGAGCTTTGTAACCTCCATGATGATATGTGGGATATACTGGAAGATATCGCTGTTGACCAGGCGGCTGGAGATATTGTCTGTATAGTAGACGCATTGGATGAATGCGAGTCTGACAATAACTCGAGAAAATCGTTTGTACAGAGGATGCATAAACTTTTATTCAGGCCAGAATGTCATATGCGGTTTGTTATCACTAGTCGTCCTTACGCTCAAATCGAAAGAATATTCAAGGGATTGCATCAAGAATTTCCTGTAATTCGCATAGCTGGGGAGATGGAATCTGAGACTATCTCGCGGGAAATCAACCTGGTCATCAACCATGAGGTTCAGCAGCTGGACTTGGATGAGAATGTTAAAAGTTAACATTATAACTCGTCTACGAGAAATGGAACACAGGACTTACCTTTGGTTACACCTTATCATGGACGTCATTCGAAAAATAATCGAGAGTAGTTGGGAGTCTAGAAAGATAGATGAAAGCCTGCGATCACTGCCCAAGACTGTGGAGAAAATGTAAGTAAAATGCTTGTGTTCTATATCCATCCACACTCCAGTGGAAGCAATAGACTCCCAATACTGATCCAACCCGTCTCAGATACGAAGAAATTCTGGACACGAGTCCTTATCGATCAGAGACCGAAAAATTACTTCATATAATCGTTGGTGCAGAGCGTCCGTTAAGCACGGATGAAATAAACGTAGCTATGAACATTCAGATATGTTACGATGGCACCCAGAGTTTTGACGACATACACTTAGAAAATCGTGAGCGCTATCCAGGAATGCTTCGTAACCTCTGTGGTCTATTCATACAATTTGTGGACTCGAAAGTGTACCTCGTACATCAGACAGCAAAAGAATTTCTCGTCGCAACTGAATCTGGAAGTAGGTTTCCCGGTAAATGGAGATATTGTCTCGAGCCGCAAGAAACACAGAAGATTTTGGCTCAAATTTGCATCTCTTATTTATATCTGAGTGATCTCAATGCTTGGAGTGATTCTGGTTACCCAAAACGCGAGCATGGCTCCATCTCTGCGACGAATGTACCTGATAATCTGATTGATTATTGGGGGACGAATTGGGTGGCTCACTATAGACGAGTCCCTAACGCTGTTGACCCCGTTGTTATCGTCGAACTATGCTCCATATCTATTCGACGCATAATCTGGCTTCGTGTTATGTGCTGGATGCCCGAAAATTACTGGTTGAGCCGTAAAATGGTTGATCCCTACCGTTTGGACCTAGAATTAAAAGAACGGGTAACGCCTTTAATGATAGCTTCATGCCTTAATCTTCTTGAAGCTGCCAAGTATATTACTTCAACTTCATATCCCAAAGAGAACAAGTTAAATTACTGCGGCCTTTTCGGAACAGCTTTATCGTTTGCAGTGGAAAATAGATCTTTTGAAATGGTATGTTTGAGTTCATCACTTCTCCTGCGATAAGTGTTGTTTTATCTTGAACTAAACCTTGTTCCAGGTGGAGTTACTCCTCCAGAAGGGTGCCGATGCAAATATAGGGCATGATCCGTATATGGTGAGATCTTTACCGCTTACTTCTGCAGTAAAAGTCGGTGACCTTCCGATCGTCCGACTCTTGTTAGAAAATCGAGCGGTAGACGAAACGGGTGGGTGTATTTTATGTAGCGCACTAAATATCGCAGTCGAGTATCACAAGACTGGATTAGTTGGGTTACTCCTTGAATCAGCGGTGCGACCTATCGTGGAAGGATACCTGGAATCAGCTTTGGAAGTTGCTGTAAGACTTCGTTTCGCTAAGCTCGTCGCAATGTTACTGGAATTTGGAGCTAGTCCAACCTACAAATTTTCTAAACGGTTCATGAGCGATGCCAGATCATGTTTATCCTACGTTCTAGATTCGCGTAGCGCAAGTTCACAGACAAATTCTTGCGAACTAGAGCTTGTGTTGAAACTGCTCTTGTTGAAAACGGAGCCGCTGCCTAGCAAGGTTATGAATGATCTGCTAGTCGAATACGTCAGCACTAAGTCAGATGAAGTCGATCTAGTTCGGTTGCTATTCAAACCTCCACTCCATACCGAGCCGGAAGCTCATGATGATGGTTCACCAATAGTGTTCGCAGCGCTATACGCGAATACTAAATCCATGGAACTTTTGATGAATGAGGTGCATGATATTGATAGCTGTCGAGAAGCCATCCCTTGGGTAAACAAACATCCTTTGCGAGGAGTCACCCCTTGGGTTAAAAATCATCCTTTGCCGGAAGGAACATTTGGGGGATATATATGGTCAGAATTAAGGCCAATGTACAAAAGCTGGTTTACCAGGGACATTGAAATCACTGCATTGTTTGGAGGTATCATTTCTGCAAATGAGCGTGTGGTCCAAAGTTTGATTGATCATGGCGCCGGCGTCAACATGACTATAGAGCTTGGGACACCCTTGTTCATTGCCGCCGCGCTATCTTGCAAATCTGTGGTTCAACTGCTGCTTAAAAATGGTGCACAAATCACGCCGTCCAAATTTGGAGGGAGAGAGCAGTCGTCACCTTTGGTTTTTGCGGCTGCTCGGGGAAACATCGAAATCGTGGAATTACTGCTTAAATCCGGCGCGCAAGTCGAGCAGGGAACCGCCGTTATTGTTCACTCAATACTGACTCATAAGGAGGGCATTGAAGGAAAATTCTATCCTTCTGCTATGGAAGCTGCCGAGATGGAAGGCCATGAAGATGTGGCTGCGCTTTTACAGGAGTATAGGGCTAGGCAGGCCGGGGCGGGAGTGAAGGAAGTTGAAGGTGCTATGATGCCGAGCAGAGTTGAAGAGGTGGAAGATTAGTCCCCGGGTTGGTTTGGAGGATGGATGGATTTTTTGTAATTTTCATTTACGGAGATGTTGAATATTCTTGAGGATTTGCTTTAATCTATTGAGTTCTTGTATTGGCGACATATCACTAGGGAAATAATGAGTCTATTCAAAACTTACCACCACCAGCTTCAGAAGGAAGAGGCCCCAGCATTTGATTTGAAATGACCGAGAATTTTATGTATACGCCTATATAACAGAATCCGGTTCAATGCAAGTATACTGTTGAGCCGAAGGATTTTCGATATCCCAGACTGCTATCCGACAACTTGGAGCTCTCACTTTCTGTACCCGATCAGCACGTACAACCAGGTCAAATTCTGGGATTTTGTCTGACCAAGGAAAAGTTGACATTTGATCTAATTGTCAATCCGCATTTCTTCCGACTACTCTACTCTCGTTCCACATTATGACGTTGCATAATATCATTTCATTGCGTTACCCCTTCTTCCTTTCCTCTTTCCTTTCCTTTCCCTTTCCCTTCGTTTCATCCTTCCTAAGCGATAACTTCTACTCTAACCGCTACCAGCTATCAGCTACCAGTTGGAGATCTATACACCTGTCTGTGAAGTGGAATCTAGATGTTGTAGCGATTAAATTCCATGTAATCTTTTAGTTGGTGGGCGGTATTAGATAGGTAGATAGGTAGGTAGGTAGGTAGGGGTGTAGTATTCTTTACACCGACTAATTTTTATACTGACTACTGTTGAGGGAGGGAATGGTATGCTTTGTATTTACATGTGCAGTTTTATCTTTGTTGTAGTCTGCATCTTCATCAAAGACTCCTGAGAATCGGGATAGGAGTTAATGTATAGTGCATCATCTTCTCATGATGCGAAAGATACGATGAGGAAAGGTGCGCGTTACAAAAAGCCTCACGGGGAATCGTTGTTGCTACTGCTGTTGCAGTTTATTTACTCATCTAGTTGTTTGCTAATCCATTCATTTGTTTGCAATGCTACATGCTTAATCACTCACACCGTTTGTATGTGTGTAAGATTATCATACTATCATTATGGATATTGCAGGATTGTAAAACTGCAAAATAGATACACTCATCCACCCATCCATTCATCCATACAAGCAAGCTATTGGATTAAATGCAATATTACCCAAATCCAAAGCAATTGATATCATCATCTCGTAACTTCGTAAAATGCACGCACGCTTGCTTCCTGTTCTAGCGATCTCTTTCCATATTTTCTTTCTTTCGAAGAAGTACCAGAAGATCCGCAAATATTTCAGGGAATGCCTTCCTTTTATTTCCTTTCACTCATCATTTTTCTCTCTTCCAGTCACGGGAATCCACACCCACGCACAACCCCATCCATCCATCCACCCAACTATCTCCGTCTCGCCCTCCCCGAACTAACCGCACTCATCGGTTGAAACGCATCGTCATCATCCTCACTAATCTCATCATCACTCAACTCAACCACCTGTTTTTTTCTCCCCCCTCCTCCTCCCCCCGTCACCTGACTCGGCTGCGAAAAAGTCAACTGTGTTTGTGTTTGTCTTCCGCGCGCTGCAGCCGCTCTCTTCGGTTGACTCTTTGGTTTGGCCGCTGGCGTAGGCGCAGGCGCTTCTTCCATTTCTACGTCTTCATCTTCGTCATCGCTTGGTTCGGGCTCGGGGACCTTTTTTCTGCTTCTTGATGTGGTGGTTGGTTTAGCGGGAGTTTTTCTGGGCGCTGCGGTTTTCTTGGCTGGGGCACGTTTGGCGGGTGTTTTTTTGGTGGTGGTGGGTTTAGGTTCTTCGCCTACAACTTCAGCGAAAGGATCATCGGAGTCGTCGTCGCTGATGATGAATCCGCTTGTATTCTTTCCGTTTCCGGTGCCGTTTCCGCGTTTGGGTGGGGGAGCGGGTGGTGCGTCGTCGCTATCATCATCGTTGTTTTCTCCGTTATCTGTCTCACAATGTTCGACTTTCTCGCCCCATTCTCCATCAAGATCTGAGTCGAAATCTGCGGGTCTGGGTTTAGGTTTGAGTTTCTTGGCGGGGTTTTTGGATTTGCTTCCTGAGCGGGCGGCGAGTGCTTCTTGTTGAGCGCGAAACTTTTCCATGGCCGCATTGAGATATTCGTCTTCGTCTCCGACTTCGTTGTCTGCGCCGTTGGCTTGTTTGATGAGTTCTTCAACTTGAGCTTTGAGGGATTTTTGAACAAAGATTTCCATGGCGTGACGATCATCCTTATCGACGAATTGACCTACTGCGTCGCCAAAGGGGGTTGTGGGAAGGACTTGAAGAGATTGTTTTTCGAGAAATTCTTTAACCAGAAGTTCGACTTTTACGTCGTCGAAACCGGCAACTTGGGCGAGAGTTCCTTCTTCTGGGAGATCAATTTCGGTGGCGGATTTACGGGTCGCACCGGCTTTTTTGCGGTGGTATTGGATTACGTCTTTTATGTTTGCGACACGGTTGATGAAACGACTGGAGAAGCGTTGGGGATTTTCGCAGTCGAATTTACCGCCTTCTGGTGGAGTGAATTCAACCTTGAGACGGACGAGAGGGAGGGGAATATCGTCGAGTTCTTCTTCTGGTTCATCTTGAAGGGAGATCCATTCAGCGCGTGCTTGGTCTATGAGTTCATCCACTATGGTCATAAGTTCTTTGGTAAGTTTGGTGCGATTATCCTTTACTTTTGCGAGATGTTTAGTTCGCTTGTCTGTAGCGAGGACAACTTCTTTTGTAATGAACGGTCGTACAGACTTGAGACGAATCTTCTCGATTTTGAATTCACGACCAGTGATGCTGGCGATGGCAACATGTTTTGGAACAGCTTCACCAGGGACTAAGGATGTAGCTACTGATGATCCAGGTTGCATGACATGAAATGACTTCTCGGGATTGTAAGTTGGATCAATAAGACATTCATGTTCGTGACCCCAGACAACTAAGTCTAGAAAATCAGGAAGAAAGTTTTCGGGTAAATAAGAGGTTTCTGTGTGAGCGTGGTGATTTTGGTGAACTGCCATGATGTTGAACCAATCCTTTTGTTGTACTCCTGGCTTAAACCATTTGACATGACCATCTCTGAATGTACGATAAAGGCGCTCGTCTCTGACGTTACTCATGCCATAAAGAGCCAGCTTCGTTTGACCTTTTTGCAAAAGTACTGGTTTGATTTGAATGCGATCAGCTTCGGGGGTTCGACCAAAGTAATTGACCAATCCGGAAGCTTGAAGTAAATCCAAAGCACAGTAATTTCCATCTCCAGCCGGATCATCATGATTGCCATGAATGGAAAAAACTGGTATAGCAACATTGATATCTGGATCCTCATAATTGACATGGTTGAATGAACCATCAAAGATATCGTTTGCGTCGCTGAGTAATTCCAATTCGCAAGGTTTCTCTCCTAGGCAATTCATTCGCAATGATCGCATAACTTGGTACATGGCTTTTCGGGAAGGTTGACTGTAGTGAAAGAGATCGCCTGCAAGCAAGACCATATCTACATCTCGATCTTTTGCTAGACGCATAACTTCGTCGAAGCTTCTCCAGCTGTCGTCCTTGCGCACAGCATCATTCTCTGCATATCCCACATGGCTATCTGTGGCAATGAGTATTCGAATCGTATCTGCTGCTACAAAGAAGTCAGTTAACCGTTTCTTATTCAGATAATAGAACTTACCTGTGAAAGTCGGCATTTTGGCCTCTCGATTTTCTTCCAAAGGAAGCTCTCCAGAAAGGTTGTAATGGTTCCGACTTGTTGCAGTCGATAGAACCACTTAAATAGAGATGAACAATATCAAAGACACGAAAATATCAACAGTTTATGTAGTATTCTGTACAAATTTACGGTTTCCATTAGAATCTAAAGTTTTTGGTTGCCTGCAGCATCTGGGAGACGCGATCTGGATTAGCGTGTTTTGTTACCCCTGCAAAATGCGAGCACTTGGAAATTTATCAGACGACAAAGGCTCGCAACGTAGGGACGGGGTAAATCGCTCACTAAAGACATTTATTACTCTTTTCAATAATTCATTTAAAATCGAACAATCATTATTATGAACCAAATTTCTTCTAAAACTGATTAGAATCCTTTAATTTACCATAATATCAATTAACGTATCTCGAGCTACTACTGTTATTGTTTTATAGCACTAGCATATATCAGGTGTTGCAATCTATAAATTGTATTGAGGGTGCGGCTTTTTCCGTTCAGTGCATGAAAGATTTGCCGTAATTGGCGACGAGACAATTTGATATCAATTCAACGACACAATGTTTCCCAGTAGAGTTCTTCTTTCACGGTCGGTCTGGAAAGGTATGTTTTAACTCATGCCTTCGAACTTAATCATGCAATTCTAACACAGATTTTAGGCCCCAATATCGTTCCGTAAGATATCCCTTGCAGATTCTATAACTTCTCTAATCACCCCTCCTCACCAGTCTCCCCATTGTCAAACCAGTACCGGGTGTTCGAACATTACCAATTAGAACACAAGCAAGATCTGCGACTATTCTACCTAATTTTGTCGGCTTGACCTTTGAAATTCATAATGGGAAGGTTTACAATGAGGTGACCATCACTGAAGATATGGTGGACATAAGTTGGGGGAATTCTCGGCGTAGGTTCTAAGGAATTGGATGAGGGGAATGAAGGGCTAATTTCGCGGGCAGAACACGAAAACGATTTACGTATAAGCAGAGTAAGAACAAGTAAATGCGGGGTGTTTAGCATCATATGGCATGGTATGGCGTTTTGGGTTGGAAAAGAGACTATGGGCTTTGGCGTATGTGCATTGTGTTGCACATCAGGTGTATCATATGAGCTGGTGAAGAACGGATACATTGGAAGAACTATGGGTGTTTTCTCTTCCAGAAGCCCTTGTCGAAGATTACAAAACCATCACTGAGTGAAAATCATCATAGCTTCACAGCTGAGAGACGGATTGAACCTTCTCTGACATTGGTAGCATGACTTTTGATATTATCAGAAGGCCGACCGAAATGGCAGTATCTATAAGATATGCGCCCAGCTCTCAGTTACCCATATACAATGAGTTAAACATAGGTCGAATGAGAATAAAAATGTGTTTGATTTCTGTACCTGAAATATAGAACGTTATACAATTTCGTGATGGGTCGTTCTCCGTATACCCTTATGCCTCTTCAAAACTCCTTGTAAATTGTAACGCCATTGAATCCCCCAACCCTTCCCGAATTATGCCTTATGATATTGCGACTTTAACGATAGAACTCCCCGCGTTTTACATTCACGCCATATTCTCCGACGGCCATACCCAAGTCTTCCATGGTGAGAATCGTTCGGTTTTGACTGCCTCCTTGTCCACCACCACCAAATCCAGGTCTTTGGATACCAAGAGGTCCTCCACGTCCCTGCTGGTCCTTTCCTCCTGTTGCGCCAGCTGGTTGCTGACCTGGAATTGGGAAACCAGCTGCAGCGCCCAAGTTTCCCATGGGATTATTGGCACTTGAGGAATTGGAAGATCTAATACGGGAATATTGATAAGCATCGGCCGCAATATCAGCGATGAACTTTTGAGTCGCAAGCGCAAGCAGACGGGCCAAACGCGCATCTGTCTGTGGTGGGGGTGGAAGACCAGCTTTTGTGAGGTAATAGTTTGTCACTGCATCAGGAATCTACGGACAAGGATTAGACAACAAAATAATAAAACAATGCGAAACAAGTAAAATCTTACGATTGGAGCGTAATCATCCATCTTTCCAAGAAACTCTTTGAGTGAGATATCTTTTTTGGTTGGAAGCTTGGGTTCTTGTGCTGGAGCATCATTTTCAACAGTTTCTTCTTCTTGCTTGATAGGAATGAGGTCCATAGCGGGATCTGGAGATGGTGCGGCCATGATTATTTTTCTGGATAGAACTTGACTATCCTGTAATGACTACGAAGTTGCGACATCTTGTGAATTGCGATATCTTATGTACCGGGTACATTTCATGGTCGGTTTCGCTTACATAATCGTGCTGTAGTCAAGGCGGTGACTTGAATCAGTCTAGCGTAATCAATGTCCCTACAGGATGTCGATAACTTTTTCTATCTGCAATATTTTTGCGTGAATTTTAATCAGCCTTGTGAGCAAATCTTGGAGAAGTAAATATAACAACAAACAATCCTTGATTGGCGTTCAACAATGGCTGACCGTCGTCCAGAAGAAGTAGAAATGTCTCGAGCAAAGCGTGCGAGAACCGACAATATGGATCCCAAGACGAATCCGTATCTGGCGCATATGTATGAGGAGGAAAGTAATGACTGGGGCAATGGTTCAAATGGTGCTGGATCTGGACTTTCGAACTTCAAACGCCATCACACAACCGCTGCACAGGCACATGAAGCTGAAGATGGACCTGCGAATCCTTTCAATGAAAAGCCTCTTTCGAAACAGTATTTCAATATCTTAAAGACCAGAAGAGATTTGCCTGTTCACAAGCAAAGGTGAGATTCTGCTTTTCTCCAGGCAAATCGTCTATCAGCTTCTAACTATTCTACAGACAAGAATTTCTTAATATGTTTCAAAAGACCCAAATTTTGGTCTTCGTCGGAGAGACCGGTTCTGGTAAAACAACACAAATTCCTCAATTCGTTCTCTACGATGATCTTCCTCACCTCACTGGCAAGCTTGTCGCATGTACACAACCTCGTCGAGTAGCAGCTATGTCAGTGGCGCAGCGTGTGGCAAATGAAATGGACGTCAAACTAGGAGACGAAGTCGGATACAGCATTCGTTTCGAGGACGTGACGAGTTCGAAAACCATACTTAAATATATGACTGATGGTATGCTTCTCAGAGAAGCCATGCATGATCATAATTTGACGAGGTATAGCTGCATCATTCTTGATGAAGCTCACGAACGTACTTTGGCCACGGATATTTTGATGGGTTTGTTAAAGGAAGTGGCGCTCAGACGACCAGATCTCAAGATCGTTATTATGTCTGCTACACTTGATGCGCAGAAGTTCCAGAAATACTTCAATGATGCTCCACTCTTGGCAGTACCTGGAAGAACACATCCAGTCGAGATCTTTTACACCCCAGAGCCAGAAAGAGATTATGTTGAGGCAGCACTTAGAACAGTTTTACAGATTCACGCCACCGAAGCCGAGGGAGATATTCTATTGTTCTTGACGGGTGAAGAGGAAATTGAAGATGCATGCCGAAAGATATCTTTAGAGGCAGATGAGATGATTAGGGAAGCAGATGCTGGTCCATTAAAGGTGTATCCACTGTACGGTACATTGCCCCCAGCACAACAACAAAGAATTTTCGAGCCAGCACCACAGCCATTGAGACCCGGTGGACGTCCAGGACGAAAAGTCATTGTGGGAACAAACATTGCGGAAACATCTTTGACCATTGATGGTATCGTGTATGTGGTTGATCCCGGTTTCAGTAAACAGAAGGTCTACAATCCTAGAATCAGGGTCGAATCCCTTCTTGTGTCTCCTATCTCGAAAGCATCTGCACAACAACGAGCAGGTCGTGCTGGTCGTACTAGACCAGGTAAATGTTTCAGATTATATACTGAAGCAGCATTCAAGAAGGAACTTATCGAACAAACTTATCCTGAAATTCTTCGATCGAATTTGGCCAACACTGTTTTAGAATTGAAGAAACTTGGTATTGATGATTTGGTACATTTTGATCTTATGGATCCTCCAGCCCCAGAAACCCTCATGAGAGCTCTTGAGGAACTCAACTATCTTGCCTGTCTTGATGATGATGGAAACCTCACACAATTAGGCAAACTCGCCTCAGAATTCCCTCTCGACCCTGCTCTTGCAGTAATGCTTATTTCGTCCCCAGAGTTCTACTGCTCAAATGAAATTTTATCCTTAACCGCCCTCCTCTCTGTTCCTCAAATCTTTGTTCGTCCTGCTTCGTCCAGAAAGCGTGCCGATGAAATGAAGGATCTTTTCGCCCACCCCGACGGAGATCACTTGACCATGCTCAACGTTTACCACGCTTTCAAAGGAGAAGCTGCACAATCTGATCCTAAAGGCTGGTGTCACCAACATTTCCTCTCTCTCCGAGCTCTGCAATCAGCTGATAACGTCCGTCAACAACTTAAGCGCATCATGGAGAAATCAGAGCTCGAGCTCGTATCTACAGATTTCAACGACAAATCTTACTACACTAATATTCGTCGTGCACTCGTAGCAGGTTTCTTCATGCAAGTTGCAAAGAAGGAAGCGACGGGTAAGACATATAAAACGGTCAAGGATGACCAGAGTGTTTTATTGCATCCTAGTACCGTGTTGAAACAAGATGCTGAGTGGGTGTTGTACAATGAATTTGTACTCACGACAAAGAACTATGTGAGGAGTGTCACGGCTGTTAGACCGGAGTGGTTATTGGTATGATTATTTCTTGATTTTCTCCTTCGCCTACAACCTCGACCGCAATTCAAATCGTTATGTGAATCGAACATAAGCTAATTTATCACAGGACATCGCGCCAACATACTACGACCTTGAAACATTCGGAAAAGGAGAAATTAAAACAGCTTTACTGCGAGCTCAAGATAAAGTTAAGAGGAAGCAGGCTATGAAGGGTGGTAGATAAATGCCGATCCTTTTAATTCGACAATATCAAGCACGGGATACATTCCTGATGTCGTAACTTGCTTCTAGTACGTCAATGGTGTTCTAGTCGTCGACACAGATCAACGAACCGAGGTGAAGAGGGAAGAGATTAGCATGCGCTCAATGATGCCACTTAGGAGTTGGGTTATGCATGTACATTTTTGAGATTACGAATATTACGAGGCTGGCAATTTCTGAGGCATGAACTCTTTAGAGTTCATTGAAAGCTATTAGAATGGTCTAAGGGTACTCAAAGAGGAAATGGAGGAGGTGACGTGGAATAATTGCTTATACCTAGAAATGCGTATGCGATAGATAGATCATGAGTGGAAAGAGAAGAAATACAAAAACTTTTACTCCATCACTATTTTGCATCTTTATGAATGTATTATTTTTACAAATGAGACAATTTGACTATTCTACGTACTCGTTATAGATTTATAAGAGTTGCATGATGACAGAAGGCGAAATTGAACACGGAAGCTGAAAGAGAAGATGAGATAATGGATTATGTATGCATCGTCCACTGCCTCACTTCAGCAGTGAGCCGCTTGGATGACTTGAACCATGGTAAAGATTAGATATCGAAGACGAACCAACAGCGGTAATCAAGACGTCACGACGCACTATACTAAAAGAATCCTGTAGTGGAAGCTAGCCTCGGCCCTGGGAATCGGTAGCCCAAGGTAAAGTCAAAACTCGCATAAGCAAATTGATGGCGAGCCGGACTAGATACTTGGATTTCAATAGTGGTGTTGTCCGAACTGTGATACATATTGGCACCATAGAATGTTGATCCGGATTCTAAACGGAGTACGACATGACAAGAATTTGCAATACTAAAGTAGATGGATGATAGAAAGGTAGAAATCAGTTAGTTTGTGAAAGGGTGAGGAAGACACGACAGTCTACCCGGTGAATCTGATAACCAGAGATTTTGAAGATAGGTAGGACAGATGTGACTCGAAGGCTGAAATGCCAAGATATATCTGATAGAAACAATATAGATGTGTGAGGAAAGGAGGATTGGGCTAGGAGATTGAGGGGTAGATGTATAATAATCAAAACATTATGCTAGCGCAGCAGCAGTTTCACGTACGAGAAGGCCAGGATGTATTGTCCAATACGATGTTTATGGTAAGAGAGAATGCCCCCTGAAAAGATATAGTAGAAGTAGAAGCTAGCTTCACGGATGTTCACCGGAAGCATCGTTCATGTAGGGTGGTGAGAAAGAGCCTGGGCAATTGAAACAGCCTTGGCATGTCTTTTGATGTCCCAAAGAAGAACAGTAACCGTTAGCAGCTTCAGGTAATTTGTAGATCCGAGAAACTGTGTTCACGGTTCCGATAATGGTTGCTGAGTTTTCAAAATGTATTGGAATCTAATGGAAGAGAACGATTGGTGGGTATTCAAGTTTTCAAGAAATGATGATCGAAGAACACTTCCAGAAAAAGAAGTAAGCGTAAGTGATTGTGATTTTTTGAGGTAGCCATGGGAAACGATAGTGTAGCACAAAAAGAATCGAATGAACTGAGGAAGGATAAGGTCCCTGGATGTATTAACAGGTACACGCATGACTGCATTTGAAGATGATATGCGGGAGACTGTGTGCAAACTAAGTAGTGTGAAGGAGAACAAAATACAAAGTAGAAGGTTATACTGGGAAGAACTTGCGACACGGTTATCAAAGACGATATTGGGCCAGAAAACGAATGAAGAAGGAAGACACACGGTAAATAGACTCGAGCTCGAATCGGAATGAAAGGCTAGAACACTGTGTGTGAAAGTTGGTAATGTAACTTCACTGAAAATCTTCAACCTTACGCCGAAATTTCTGAACATTTGATTGGTATGATATTTCCAATCGGAATAATATGCCAATAGGGAATGAGTAAGTGTCAAATTTGCATATAATGTGGAGTAGAGCAGGGTGTGAAGTGAAGTGGTGCAATGATGCATCATAAAGTATTTTGTGAGTAAGAAGCGTGTGGGATAACTAGGCAACATGTCCGACACAATGTCGCATGAAATTGGAAAGTGTGATTTGGTTCATTCAAATCAATGCCTTGCATACTATGCGGACCAAAAAGGGCAGTAGAAAGATTCCAAATGTCGCATTTTGTCAAGTTCGGTTTACAAATTGACAGCCAGCAACTTTCAATACACAATTTGCCAAAAGTATGGTGTTGATAGTTGATAACAATCGGTACGAGAAATGTGTCATTTGAGTGCTTATTACTAGCGGAGAAATTGAGATATGTAATGGATATCTGGAGCCATGGTACTGCGCCAGATGGATTGGTGGCATAGATGTTCCGCCTACCTTGATTGAGTGATAGTATTCATGTGACTCAGGTATTATCATACGTAGATGCCCCTCAGATCACAAAGAATAATCTAGCAATCTAACAGATCACTCTGTCTGAGAAAGGACCAAGGTTTCAGGTCGCTGATGGAAGGACGTCAAGTAATGTCTTGCACACTCTTGCATTTAGACGAAATTATAAGCGGGGACTATAGAATGCTGTATTTGTAAGTGACATACGAAATATGAACTATATACGGAGTGTAGTATCCATGCAGGGTGGAGGACCCTGTTTTAATGCTCAGGGGTCGAGTGGGAGTGGCGTGGAAGTGGCGTGACGGTCTAGTAGATGAAATTGACGCGGGGAGGTCTGTCAAGAAGCATTTGACATCGAAAAACAAGAAAGAAATACGGCAATCCTTGGTAACAGAAGGTTTGATCTCAAAATAAAACCTTTGAAATGTCAGTTTAGATGTACTTGTAATGACGCATCTTGGGATTCTAATATTCAACAGAAGAGTCGAGGTTTTCTCTCAAGAGACCTGGGAAATGTTTGTGAAGAAACAAAAGCCGGCCGAGTACTAAACATGGTCTTCGCCTCCACGGTTTGGTATCATCTGATGTTGAAGTATACTTTCCCCCATATTTTCAGTGAGTTTTATAGATATAAGCCAGTAGAAACCAAGGCCATTCTTGATGACATGTCATTGCAGCCAATTGGAATATCCGCGGAGATTTGCATAAGAAGTTGCACTACATATTCGATCAACATCGCGCCGTTCCGTTCACTTGCATCGTCACAAGCATGCGGGTGGCCCTAAAGCAGTATTTCGGCCGGTCCATTGTTTCGGGATACGTTCTTTTGTTGAAAAAGGGTAGATAGCCGGTCAATATTGCTTCTGTTTGTTCCTCATACCAACATTGGTGAGAAGTACCCTACACTTGAGTATTAGCAGAAGAGTAGAAGAGCAGAGAATTTCATTCGAAAGATTCCTTCGATTCTGAGCAAATTGGTCAATAGGCATGGAATTCGTTTTGTAAACGTGTGTCTCTTTCATTAGAAATTTAGGCTAGTGGGACACTGGGAAGTATTTCTTGTTTGGTTCCGAAGTGGCGTCAATATTCTCCGAGAACCCTAATACTAGACAAATACTTGAACAAGCACCATTCAGATCTAGACTATGGGATAATGCTTTGAGATCCTGACAGAGGTTCGACTTTTATACCTGGTGCAACAAAGCCTGCGAACTGATAATTGTGGCAAAATTGTGATTTGGGAGACGATTAAATTAGGCAAGATGATACACACTTTTGATAATTTAGTTCCAAAAGCGACAGTCTAAGGGCCATGAGGAAGATTGACATCTGAAATGATGCCTTGCAATCGGCTATTCAACGTTCAATATGTTTATCTCAGGGTGATGAATCTTAGTGGTTGTCAAGGAAGAAGCCTATCGCAGATGCGTTGCCAATTTGCGAAACTATCCATGTGGCCACTGAAAAATGCAAGCTGAATCATAAACAATCTGTGGAATCATCAGTTGAGAATAAACAGCGTAATTTAATTCCAGATGTTGATTTGACCACAGTATGCATAGGTACAAGAGCTGTTGTTCGACATAGCACCATTCAAAACAGAGATCCTTCTTGATAACATAGACTCATGCGATAACATATAGCAGATGTCACTATGGCTGCTGTACAGTGATGCCCTTCAAGAAGCTTTCGACAACAGCAAGTTTTCGGAAAAGCTCCTCTGTGACTGCTTGTTGGTTAAAGGTCGATCTAATAATGGCAATCACTGCAAAGATTCGATATTATATCTTTATTTTAAGCTAATGACATCGATATTGATTCAAAATAGTTAAGTTTCTTCCTTCGCTACGAAAAATGTACAGTCAATCGCGTGGGCACCAAGAAAGAAATTGATCTTGTATATGAAAGCGCCAGTTGAACTTGCGGATACGATGAAATCGTACATTCAGTATGCACATTATGCAGATATTCTTGCGAACAATTTCAAGCATGCAATCCAATGTGACACCGTCGTCTGTAGGCGTGTAAGATGTAGGTGTGTAAGATCCACAAACCGGAAGATTGACCCGGGGCCTTCTTAACTGCCATTGTTTTCAAAGGTACAGACTTATCTACGTAGTTCAGAACTTCACCGATATCTCGGTAATTGGCAGTCAGTCATCAAACCGGTCGTGTCAATAAAGAACACGACAGCCGCGGTGTAATATGGCTTGAATTTCAACGATCGAAATCAAGGTTTTTGGAAGTAGCCTCGAAAAAATCAGGCTGATGAAGCAAAGATCTCGCGCAGCAAGAGTCAGTTGCCTGCACGCGAGAATGCAAAAGCTTTAGGACCTAACGGCTTAAAAGCTTGAAACCTTCATTCCAGTCAATGTAGGTCGACAGATTGAGAACATAAAGTGCTCTCTACTCGAAGACATGCTTTAAAATGCATATATCAACTCCGTAGCACAAGGTTTCCTGAAAGCCTTTAAATTTAACTGTTCCAATGGTATTCTAATAATGATAACCATTGAGCTTGCTTGTGCGTTGTCTGTTCGCACAGTGATTTGCTGAAGTAGCTCAACAACTGAAAGTTGAAGTTCTGCTGCCGATCCTTGTCCTGCACCTGAGCAAGAGAGGGTATGTTCGCGCTGTAGAAAGCTCAAATTCCAAATCTTCTCACCTAAATCAGGGCCATTTTATTCAGCCATTTCTGCGGTAACAAATCAGAGGCATTAAACCTCACACAAAACCGTGAAGCGTCTCACAACGTCATTTTGTAGGCTTGTACCCCACAAGGTCACAGGTTTCGGGTTCATTGGCCGGCGAACATCCAACTGCCCTACTGTTCGTCACGACAGTGATGATATAAATTTAAAGAAACAAAGCCAAGAGTGAATTATTCGGGGAACCGGGGCCTATATGTAGGGACACGGTATTAACAATCATGACTCTGAGCTGAAACCCCGGATTAATGAATTGCGTGCAGAGAAGATTTGCTGTATTCATATGTAGACACATTAGTTGCACCGAAGATATTTGAGGCTTGAGGTACTACACTCGAGCTAGAGAAAGTGGACTTATTTTGAGCAACATACTTTTGCTTTCCACCACGTGTAGCTACTCAATTTTGACGAAAATTTGATGGATTGATGTTTGCCTATCCACGGGGCTGAAAATAAAGGAGCGGTCCAAGTGCAACGGCCACTAAACCAAGTACCATTATGATCCTTGCAACGGCACAAGGGCGGGCAGGAAGTGTGGAATCTGACCCGGGAAGCCTTCGCTAACGACCCGAACATCCTAGCACATTGCAGACGTCCGCAGATATTGGATTATAGCTTCACATCTGCATTCATGTGTCAGCAATAATTATAATAACAATGCAGTCGATATTGTCTTTAATCTTAGCTGCACATGCCGTGTTTCGCAAAGGAAACTATGATGTCCTCAGTCGGATATGGGATACAATCGCCGATTGATTTGCGACGCAGCGCTCTCAGAAGATAGAAGTAGCCACGCATTTAGTATCGAGATGGGGCGATTGATTGCGGAAACTGCGTTATGGGCCAGTAATAGGTGCATTACCTTAGCTGCATAAGTCTTGCGCGCCTGCAAGTTTGACAGGTGGAATGTTACATCGATTCTGGTGATGATTCAACAAGCGACCGCAGAGGTACAGTCAACCAGAAGATAGTCCGTATTCGAGATTGACTGCTTAAATATATCATGAATGAATCCGTGCCCGTTGTCAAATATGATATTCTTTACAAAAGTGGGGTCTTGACCTCGATTGTTTTTCTGTCGCATGGATCTAACCTTCTGTTCATGAACTTCAGATGATTCAGTATATTGGGATCATACGTCGACTTCTCGAATATTATGAGTGCCATTGAATTGAATTATAAAGCCACGTTATTACGTATGGAACCCCATTTGGCCTGCTGCAGATGCGAGCGGACTTTTTCTTTGCAGCGCTGCGAAAGCCGTGAAGTCTGCATGGGACATTATTGGAGAAACCACATGCATTTCGACACAAATCTGCAATATTGGACTTTCCATGTAATTGTTATAAGATTTGAGCGGGGAAAACTTCATTTTGATCCATATGATTTGCCTCGAAGATTTAGAGTATTATTGGTCTCGAAAGTGCCCTACTGCTTTCCATGATCCTAGATGTCTTGATATCAGTTATATATCTTGACTCACCCAACCCCTTTCCTGCCAAAAGGTATAAATTTTACTCATACTTTTATTGAACCTCATTTGCAGGTGGAGCGTCCATACTGAGAATTAGACAAGTATTTACATTCTCGGTGCCACATTGTGTCGTTAAAGCTGTCCTGTTATAGCTATCCTGCTATTTGAGCCGCTCTCCTACCAGCGGGTAGTGCAATCAAATCCGAAAGTTATCTTGTTGCTAGCAGTCAGTAAAAACACATTCAGAACACAATGAGTGGATCTGGTGGAGGATACTACAAGTACCGGTGTAAGTACTGGTTATTGTATAATTGCGAAAATTGGGTCTGGGTTAACAATGAATCGTGTGCAAAATGCTTGGTATGTCAATTGCCAGCCATGAGCCGATGCATGCTAATAACAGTCAGGCGAGCGGTAGAGATGAAATCCTCGTTTCTGCATCTCAACTTAGAATGTCGAGGGAGATATTCGTGCCACAGATTCAAGATGGGAATTTGTATTATACAGTGATGGAAATTATCGCTTTGAGCGATTTAGACACCGGTTGGGTAGTGAAGGAGCCCAAGAGCGCAGAGTTTCCAACAACCACGTCGCCAACGGTCGAGAGCCTTCCAGCAAACGATGGTGCTGTTTCTCAAGTTACAAGAGAGCAAATTTTACCAGCACAAAAGGATGGTTGATAGATACCATGTATCTAATCCAATCTCCGGATTTTGCGTCTGCTCGACAGTGAAAGAATAGTGTTTTTGTTGGATTGTTTTCTCGTCAAAAGGGGCAATTTCCGATGGTGGCCGAAGTGGGATAATTTGGAATCGAAAAGTGTCTCTCGGCTATTGCGATGCTCTCTGCTTGATTGTCAAAAGTTGTTTAGCATCGTGTGGGGATATATCTATGTGGTCAAGAATTTTTGTAATTAACCAAGTCGGGGGTGGTCAAGGGTGTAACAAAATCTTGAATCACAATATAACGGATTGCGTTGCGTGGGCATCCAGAGAACTACTCGAAAACATGTGATTCTTCCCGTATTTCATGCCATTGAAAGATCTTGCTCAGAAAGTACCTAGCAAACGACAATCTGCATAGGAGATTCTCGGATACAACTTTGAGAAATGAAGCAGTGCTATACACGGAGTCTGGAGAAAGGTTTCACGACCTTGCATGTTTGATACTGCATCAAATTGCCGGGCTTATTGAACGAGAATATCCACTTTTGGGAACGAAGGCAAAAGTCCGGAAACATTGGAAGTACAAGATTCTATGCTCAGTTAGCGTTTGCCTCTTTCGGTGAACTCAGCATTCATTTACCGGTTATCTGCCAATCAATCATCTTGACGTCAATAACGAATCTTTGAGATACAACGTCGTTCCCGAGTATTTGCAAATTACTGTGCAAATTGATGTTTACCATAGTACATGTGTTGGAGACATGGCATTAATAAGAAGAGCACAGTAAAAGCTTAAGAATGAATATTAACGATATTGTTCCACTTCGATTCGCCGATGTTGTTCATGTGGGGAAAGCTAAGTCACGTGCGAGCAAATCATGCTTAGCTCTCACTAGTCCTCAATCAGTAAGGTTGAAAGCTCGCCTAGCTTCTGTCTCAATATCACTTCACTCAAGCTTCGTTCCTTCCACATTAACGTCTTGTTCCCCCACCCGTCTAGATTCCTCTCTTTCTCAAAATCCATTCTATTGTTTTTCTCCACCATTCTTCCCTTATGGATGCGCTTTTATCGATATCTTGTACTGGAAACACAACATGGTACACAGGGCATATGCTGCACAATACCTGATGATTTTCCATGCAAGAATGAAGGACATTTTCGTGAATAATGGGCTAAAGGAAGTGATACTTGGAGAGGAAGTAATAGCACTTTTCTGATATACTCACTTCGATCGAATCAATTGAGAATCAGTATATTTCAAGACTTTGACGTTGACTAGAGAGTCATTCTGCTTTGAGGAGTGTCAATTTCACATGCCCAAGCATGAATAAGTTTAGGATAGGAAGGATTATATCGTGTTCTCAAAGCTTGCTTTACTGCACCAAATTCAAATCAGTGGTTATAGCCAAAGTCTCTAGACAAGCTGCCATTCCGTGATCATACCCAATGAATCCTTGGAACGAGAGAAAGATTTTTGATTGCTTCGATGATATGTTCCGTTGGTTAACTGATAGGAACGAAATGATGGTATGTAGACTGTGAAGCACCTGGGCATTCTGAATTCTCAGGTGGCTGGTCTTGCCACCATGATTCCAAGTTCTTTGGTACTGGTAATAGTGAAGATCGTTAGACAGACCATTCCTCCACATATTACGGTATCAAGCTCTAAGTGTGTAGCTGGAGGGAGATGGAATGGCTCTGCTCCTATTTAATCCATGAGTCATCTATGATGATTCCCTGACTGTTGCAGTGCTTGAAAGTGAAGCTTCAATCCGTGGTTCCTGTCTTTCTCTTGCCTCAATTAGCCTCAACATACCACACCAAGTAAGTAAGCACCAATCGAAGGTAGTGGCTTCTTGTTTGCTCGAATGGAATTGTAAATGTACCCAATATAGTAAGTGCTCTTTCTGTCCTACATATCGGAAACTTCTGTTCCCTCAAAGAACAGCAACGCCATTCCCTTCAACTTTAGCATTGCTGTTGATTGAATACATCCATCAGCAAACCTTTCCTCCAACAGAGCCACCCTCTCTCTGCCTCTTGCCACTCCTTGTGAAAGTCTCTTTATCTCTCTTCTACCACTTTGTTTATGTCTGTCTCCAGCTATCCAGATTTGCAAAACAATTGTTTGGTTTTCACCCTTTTACAACTTGTTTGTTCCTGATAATAATTTGTCTCAATTCTACCATACCAGTAAGTTGTATATCATCCCATCAACATTGACTCCTATGAAGCCGTCCAGAGAGAGAATGATAAAATGACATTCGAGATCAGAGAAGAGTATATCGTGACTTTCAGATGACAACCATCACCATGGTGATCTCATCAGGCAGTCATCCCCAGCTTCCAATGAACTATCCTCGAGCATGTTTGTTGTTTACCCCACCTCTTCTCAAGTTGGCAGATTTGTTTTGACATTGCACATGCCCATTTATTCACGCATTCACTTGAAAATATTCAATCACTGACTGCTACCTTTGACTTTTCTTAGCGACGATCCTGAAAGGATAGGTATCAGGTACTCAAAAGAAAACACCAACAACTCAACCTGCGAATTTTTTCGGCGACAGAATTCCACCCTACTCTTAACTTCCAATCGACTCCATTTTGCGATCCTTTTCGCTGAACAACTTCAATTGTTGAAGAATAATCAGGAGTAAACGCTCTCAATATCGAATTTCGCTTCATCCTCACTCTTGTCGCAAATCACAAGATATAGCTGAGAGACGGCGCCAAACGTGGTGTTCGGCAAGTCAGTTCGTCTACTTTCCGCAATGTCTCTTCTTGAAGATACAAGCATGAAGGCACACCGCTATACAGTTGATCAGTTGCTTAATCTGAAGAGATCTCTCCCATTTGTTTCTTGTGTGGTCGACAACATAAACAAGCATCCTGATATTGGTGAGTGTTATCCTGATCTTCCTTGAGTCACTATTCGATAGTCACTAATGAAACGACTTCTGTAGCTGCTATATTCACTCTTCCTGAGCAAGCATTCCAAAATCCCCACACTTACACCTGTTTGACTACAATCCTCTCGAAACAATACAAGTACACACGTCCTGAAGTTACAACACGCCGTGGAGAATCGTCTTCTTCTTCATCCCAATCAATGCGCAGTCAAGGAAGTTGGTGTTTACGTCAAAATACCAACTCTGAATCACGCCGCACATTTGACAATCAAATTCAACCACATTCTGCGCCGACTAGCGTAGCTTTGCATCAGGCCGAGAACTTTCGAAGATTCTATAGAGCCGTTGTTTCTCCAACCCACGTGAGAGTCACTGCTGGTGGTCGCATAGTTCCAAACACTAGAGCAATGGCACCACCGTTGTTTGAGCCTATTGGAAATAAGCATATATCCGAGTCTCCCCAGCAAATCAATGAGACTGAACAAATTGATCACAGCCGAGCTGCAAGTAACATTGCTGGTAACGCTCAAGCATCTTTAGTTCCCATCGGAGCGCAAGGCCCTTCAGCATTTCATCCTGTCTTTCCTGGTTCTTTTCTACCACTTTATGGCTATTCTCACCAAGGTGCACCGAATATGCCGGGCCAAACATTTAGTCACCAATGTCACACACAGCCTCTCCATCAAAGCGCCAATGGTAACGATAGCTCTAATAGCTCTTTGCAACCAGTCAGAGTCTCTCATCCTGGTCAATTTGACCCGAATCGTCCATACATGATGGTCAATAACCAGTTGTGTTTCCCCACCTCAGGATTTCCTCAACCTCCCAGCGGATTTTCTTCCGGCTTAATGGGAAACCCACCATTCGGTCCTCCTATGTTAGGCGGTCCTCCAGGACACCATATGCCGCACCCAATGGTTGGTCCCATTCCATTTCCAATATCTCCAGGAAACTTTTCGGTACCCATGATGCAACATCCTAATGGGCAATTTTTCTCGATGATGCCACAACAAGCTCACAGTCAGCAAGCTCCAATGGCACCGATGCTACCACTTCAATTGACCTCCACCGAACAGACTCTTCAACAATATCGAGATCATCTCATGATGCTTGAAGATCACATATCCCGTCAATCGCTACAATCAGTTCCTTACTGGGCAACTCAACGTCAGGTTCTTATTGGAGAGATTGCAAAAATGACGAATTTTCTTCAATCTGAGCGTAACCAATCAGGCAGCGCTCAAACTGAACAGGCGAAATCTCAAACCTCTGTCGATGCTGGAAGCTCACTTGATACTGCATCTAACAAGAATGATATTCGAAGTCCAGTAATTGTCAGCTCTAGTCCAAGCACTACTTTACGCAGTCAGGAGCCCTCCGTCGCTTATGCACACTCATCAACTACGCGAAGTGTTGATTCTCCAACCATTCCGCGAGCTTCCACTACTAAACTTGGATCTGGCTCACGATTGCCTGCTACAGCAGCAATGGCCCCACCATTCCAACCCCGTGGCTGCCGTACAGATCTTAGTGCTGCTGAATGGGAGGAATTTGCGAGAGTGACAGATCCTCGTCCGGGAGGTCAAACATCACCACCAGCAACGCCGGAAAACACTGCTCAGAGATTAGCTCGGCTTATGGGTAATTGTCAGACACGTTGGGAGGACTCTGCTGCTGGCTCAAGTATGATCAGCATGCCAAGATCGCAGACGATGCCTGTACCTCGATTGCAAACACATGCAGCATCCTTGCCAAGTTTCCAGAGATCTGAGACGCACCCTAACTGCGTTTCACAGATGACACAGATGTCTTATGGCCCTGCTATGAATTCACATAATACAAATATCCAACCATACGCTCGAGTGAATACTCAAAGCTATGATCCAGAGAGATTCATTGCCCAAAAAGAGTACTTTGGCAATTCGGCAAGCAATATTTCAAATCACGGTTCTACTTGTCAAATCCTAAGATTTGATACTGGTAGACAGACATCCGCACAAACTTCACCTATCCATGGTAACAACAACAATCAGAACACATTCACTACGGAAGATTATCTCGACAAATGTCAATCGATATTTCTCAATGAAACGACTGATTCAGGTGTAACAAAATATGCATCGCCATGGTCCAGTCCAGAACGAAATTCTGCTAGTCATAACGCTCTTGACACACGATCGAGATCTGGCAGATTAATTCCACCATTCAGTTTGACTACTCAATCTCTTGCCAATGAGTTTACTAGCAAAGCTGGCGGAAATCCGTCTCCCGAAGTTGTCAAAACACCACGTAATATCTCTGCTGATGCTGAAGGACTCAAGATTCTCTCCGATGTGTTTGTTGAGACTCCTGAGAAGAAATTGAACTCAAGCAAGAAGTCTGCAGTACTTCAGGGACCTCAACATGATATTCCTGTAGCCTTCCACAGCCCTTGCACTGAGCAGGCTACGAATTCCGCCGGTATAGGCTCTTCAACTCCTAGCGATCTTAATGTGATTTCTGAATTGGAGGATCGATCTACATCAGCACCCGATCACCACTCCACTCAAACCGCAAGTTCTTCTCTTGATCGTCACTATACATCTGAAGATCTGGCTATTATTTTTTCTTCAGATGAACCTCGTGAATCGACACCAAAGCGAGTTACAAGACCTGCTAGTACTCCGTTCTTGACACAAAGAGATCTTGGTATTATTTTCGACTCAAATGAACCAGACGCCCCAGATTCATACAAGGCTGAAAAAGACTCAACTACTTCTGTCATCAATTCCCAAAACTCTGAAGACTTGCCCAGTGCATCTCCATTGAACGATCTACATGCACCAGCATCTAAACAAGACACAATTCCTACTAGTACTGAGTCATTAACTCGTCAAGAACTAGGGGAGATTTTTGCATCGGATCCTCCACAAGCCGTACCATCTTACAAGATTGAAGAAGCTTCTAGTGTTCAACTACACACATCTGAGCATTTGGGTAGTATTTTTGCGTCGAATTCACCAATCAGAGGCAGACCAGGTACCATCACACCAACATACATGAACGGGGATGATGTCGATAATAATAAAAGTATTGGATCTTGGACCCGGCGTGAAGATCATCATACTTCGGCAAGTACTCAGTCTTGTAATGAGAAGGAGAATTTGATTGTCACTCCGTCAGCTCAAGATGGTTCTCCAAAGAGCAAATCTAGTTTCGTTGAACTTATCAGAACTACAAGCAGGTGTGTAAAACCTGTTTCCTAAAACTTACTCTTACTGATTGTTTGTAGTGCTGTGCAAAAGAATCAAATTTTGAAGAACTTGCTGAACCTTCAACCTGCAACTCATTCAGCCATTGCTGCACCTGCCCATGTTTCTTCGGCTAATGCTCAAGGTATTGTTCCTCTTCAAAATCGCGGCTCAGCAGCAGCATCTCTGGCTCCTGCTATGGTCAATATGACATGTACGAGTAAATCCTCAGCGATTGCCTCGCCCAGAAGTGTTGCTAGTCCAAGCACGCCAGAAAACCGCTCGCGTATTGGTCGTGGTCAATCTTTCCATCGCTCTCCAGAGCACTTGGGAAATGAGGACTACCTTGATTGCCTGAAAGAAATTGCCCGCCATACATCTATCAAGCGACGTCAAGCAGAACTGCAATGATGTGACTTTGTGACATCTTGTCATCCACTTCAGGATCTCATATTCACAACTCATGCTACAATCATAGTTTCCTCATCTGTTTAGCACGGTGTTCATGGAATTCATTAGATCTTTGAGACCATGCTGTACCAAGCATGCACCTTCTTGTATTAATGGCTCGTTCGCACTCGATATTAAAGTAGCTGGACTTGTATTTGAGGATTTAAACCCACTTATGCTAGTATTGCCTTTTCGTATCTTTGTGCCTTTGCCTTTTACATTACTGCCTTTTGTTCTAATTATTTGGCCACAGACATACACACAACTTTCGCTTTGTAGGATTATTTGGGCATTGAGCATTACGTTTTCTCGACGTGGGATACAGTTTTTTTCTCTCATAATTGATATGAATTTGGCAGATAGTTTTATGGATGATATGGTGGGCAGGAATCAATGGAAGACGTGAATGATATGATCGGGCAGGCTTTATGGTTTTCTTTCTGATCCAATTGCGTTATTTTCTTTTTTTCTCTTTGGAGAAGACTGTCAGTCAATATTGATATTGAGACTGCAAATTGGTGAGGAAAATACTAGCATTCCTGTTTCATAGTTAAATTAAATTCATCATGTAAAATCTTTGGTCTACCATGAAATGATGTAATATGGCGTTGAATTGATTGGCGCGAGGAGACTTCATGGAGACTGTGTGTGTCTTGGTGATTCTGTCGGTGTTCTATGGAGGGTGTAAATTTCTTGCCAAGGTGATGAGACTGTAAGATCTCACTATGCTATTCATACATCGGATACGCAAATCATACTTCATGGAACCACTACTCCAAAACTTTGAATCCCAGCTATATAAGAAAACTCTCAAACACGACCGAGGTCTCTCAAATTTCTCAACCCAAGCTCGAATATCTTACAAGTCAGCAGCAAACACTGCGTAAATTCTGACCAAGCCAACTCCTTGAAATGTGAGAAGTAAAAGAGTCAGTCCAGTCGAATACGGAGATTACATGGTGGGTTTGGCTAAATATAATTGGGTTTGTAGCTATCTACCTACTCTTCTATGTTGTTTTTGTTGTTGTGACTATAACTAACTTTCGAAGTCTCATACGCACATTCGGTTGTTATTCGAGGTGCTTAGGAGGTTTTGTGGATGGGGATGGGTAGGTATGCGAACGTTGAGGTTTTCTCAGGGGCTGAAGAAAAGGTGCATGGAAAGTTCACAGCGTAGGTAGGTGTTTGATATTTAGAATAAATGGATGGTCTGGAATAGGCTGTATACCGATGATTTGCTTGAGATGTGTTTTGCATTTATTGTTTGTTCATTATTGAGTAGGGAGTGAGTGGGTGCTTGGTTTGGATGGTAGAGATGTTCAAGGTTGGTGGTGTAAAGGTTGATGGATGATATTAGTCAATCTGCAATCACTACCCTTGGGCTGACCTAGCCAGTGGGAGAAAGTAAAAGATTACTAGATTGGTGGCAGATCAATTCTCAACATTAGTATATATAGCTACATCATAAACTCATGATATTGCATATTCTCCTGCAGGTTCGTCATCCCCTCATAAATCTCTTATTCATCCTCTTCATCTTCATCTTCGCCATCCGTACTAACTTGCGTCAAAGTAGGTGGAGGCCTACTACTCATTTTCTCCCTCTTTACACTTCGCCGCCTCTCTTCATCATCTACATCCAAAAATGTACTTTCATCATCTAACTCCTCAGGTCTATTTCTTTGAGTTCCTCTCGGAGCATCATCCTCATCACTATCCTCACTTCTTTCTCTCTGTGTCGCCCTCCTAACCTGTCTCAACAACAACTGATCATCATACATATCCTTCATAGCAATTAAATTCTCACATCCAATCGCCGGACACTTAACCACTCTTTTTCCACCCTGATTTGTCGCATTTTTCCCATGATATTCGATGATTGCTTCTTTTTCAAAACTGTGATTGCACTTGTTATTTGTGTATGGGAAGCGGAAAATTGCAAAAGTAAGAGGACATTTGAGATCTTTGACGACTCGTTCGATTACAATCTCGTCATCAGAGGATTCTTCTTCGGCTTGTCCGTTGGCTTGAGCAGATGGGTGGGAGCGGTCTGAGGGGAACCATGTAGATTCTTTGGGAAGGGGTAGGTCTCCATCTGGATGGAGGGAATCGTGGACTACACGCTTGAAACTCTTGTAGTCGTTATGAGAGGCGTATCTATAGAGAGATTCAATTAGTTTTTGCCCGCATCTTTAACTTCAAACTTTGCGAGAGCGCAGAGAGAAGGATAATATACCTTTTTGTCATACTTTCCGTCTCATACTTTGACCTATACTCCTCCTTGATTTGATCTAACAATTCCACTGCACTTACAACCACTCCATCTTGCTTCACTTCCTCCCCATCTTCTTGGCCCCTGGTCCTTCGCATTGGAGGAGCTGGATTGGCCTCAGCCAATTTACCACAAACATCCCTAACAACCAAATCATTCCTCTCCACCTCATCGCCCTTATCAATCAAGACCCGCATCGCCAACTCCGCCTGCTCCGTCCAAATATTAACTTTCTTCGCTAGATGTTTCGTGTGAATTTCCAAATCCTTATGCTCCGCTGGAATCTCCTCATCATCTTGTCCATCCCGTTGTCTCTTCCGCGCATTTTTCTCTACTTGTCTTTTGCGCTCCCATATCCTATCGTTATTGGCGACAGTTGTGTCTGTGATATTTTTGATCGCTTGACTCAGATGTTTCTTGAGCTTAGCGCTATTATGAAGAGTACGAATATTGGAAATGGCTCGTTGTGCATCGGCCGAGAGAGGACATGTTGGTGGAGTGTATTCTGGGAAAGGAATTGATCCGTTTAGATTGGAGGGGCGAGATCTGCCTGGTGCGGGAGATGATTGTGAGCCGTGGCGCTCAGCGCCTGTTTGAAGACGTCTGCGGACAGACATGGTATTAGGTGTTGGTGTCGATGTATGTTTATCGTTGAAGGTGGGTTTTAATTATGATGTGGTGGGGAGACGCGCTTGGTCGCATGAAATCTGGGGACGCGAACTTTGGTGTATTGGTCCGCGAGCCGTTAGCGTGAGCACATGATACGACATATTTTACAATGTATTCATTCGAGAACTTTTTCACAAGGAAATCGGAAACTTTTGCACTAATAATCATTCCTACGGCAAATATCGTGAGTCTTGTCATTTTTGAATATACATTATTTTAGAAGTTGTTGTTTAGCAGCAGCAAGGCTCTATTGAAGTTGCAATCCCAATTGCTCAAATTTATTTGCTTCCTGCGTTTGCACGGCTTTGGGATACTTTACTTGAAGCATTATATGTTGGACAATAAGAAAGCTAGGCTTTTATTCTTTTGCGCAGTGAAGTTACTGTGCCTCAATGCTAAGAAAAGAAGAGGAAAGAAGACAGAACGGCTATGCTGTTATTCGCCCTCCAGGCAGAATTGAACATTTAGCCCTACCTCGATCCAGGGAGCATGAGCAATCCGCAGTAAAAGTTTCGAAATTTTTCCCATTCTTTGTTGTACGACTTATATGATTCATTGTTTCACTCTTGCTATCATCATCATCATCACCTCTCACTTCGCACCTTGATCCTCTTTTTCTACGGTCTTATTCTCTTCCGTAGCAATCAACATTTAATGACATCTGCGCAGTTCCGAGGGACCGTAAGAAGATTCACCTTGCATCTTTCAGATGGCAGACTTCCCACCTATCACCGACCGCTCTTACGGCATTTATACCATCCGCTACCTGCCTAGCCTTGCGCTCTCCACACCACCTGTTCCAAGCACAGAAAATACTGAGGTCCTACTCATCCTTCAAAAAACTATTTGGGAGAGTGTTCCCCCATTTTGGTGTTTCCCAAAGGGTCATGCCGAAATTGGCGATGCGTCGACATTGCATACTGCCATTCGAGAGCTCGAGGAAGAGACATCTTTGAAGGTTAAGCCTGAAGATGTCTTGAGATTCAAACCAACTGAACACACAGGGGAGACTGAGGGACAAGATTCCAAGGACTGGGATGGAAGTTTTTCGGAGAGATATATAAACCCAGTCAGAAAGAATGGAAAGGAGGTTAGGTATTGGCTTGCATTGGTCGGAAAAGTAGAGGGAGAGAAGGAAATCAAGTTACAGGAAAAAGAGGTTGCGGGATACAAGTGGTGTTCGTGGGATGAGGCGACGGAAAAGGTGACTTACGACGAAACAAAAGCAACCTTGAGGAGAGCGGTGGCCATGCTTGAGGGCCACGAGAAGGTTGGTGAGGAGTTCAAGGCTAAAGTTTGAAGGAATAATGGACAATGATCGGTGAGAAAGAAAGATCTTCAATGCTATCACCCGCTAACTCTGCTTCTAAGTCAACACTGTTGTTGTGTCGAGCTAGATCTAGATGGCTGTGTACAGCCGTCGAGCAACTCGGCATTCTTGTGTTTGATTCGGTGAACACATGAGATGGTGTGTCTGTGAAACTTATCTCGCAAAGCTGATAGGGCTGAAGCTTCTCATAAAAATATGATACATTAGACTCCAATATCTATCAATAACACAAAAAGCGGTGCCACAGCAGTGTACAATTCTTGACACATGATTGACGAATCGGATAACAGGAGACACAAATCAAAAGTGATACCCAACTTCTCAAACTATGCTAACCTACAACCTCGAGCATACGCAATGAAAGTGGCCAAATCCTAGCCGGGAAAGATAACAATTGAAATTTTGACCTTCGGATATCGGTCCTGTGCCAAGATAGTAGCTCTTGCCCGACAGTTTGGATGGAACTAGATCTAAATCGATATCCTTGATCTGCTAATGCGTCTCTATAAATTGCCAAATTTGACAAATATCAGAAGAATGGTAGATTTCGCCGTCGGTAGCCAATCCAGGAACCTGTATATTGCACATGCAAATGTTCGAGTAGCGGAAGCAGTAGTGGATAGAGGAAATCGGACTTAGGGATGATCCTCCTTGGTTCAGGTTAGTTGAGTGAACTCGCAAGCATTTCTCATACCATTTTAATTAATCCGATTGTTGACCGGGTCGACTTTTAAGTTTTTAGTGTGCTCCATTTTCAGAATCGGGCAAACCGATGTGGGTATTTTTCCCGATAGGCGTTGCTTATCATCGTGAATGGGCGTGCTTCATCACCTCTTCATGATTGGATTTCGGTGCTGACTGAGCTGAGGGCTCCATAGCAAAAAGCTTGATTGTCTAACAAGGATATGTTTCCCGTCGGTATGGCGGCGGCATAAACTTTTTGAAAATGTGCCAAGTTGGCAGACGTAACGTAGGTTGTGAGCAATGGATGTTCAAGGTGGTAATGGAAAACATACTCCAGATGAAGAGAAGATACGGTGATTTGGTCGAATTTTTGACGTACTCGTCTGCTGATGAGGAGTATATGTATATTGCAAAGTGGTGTATCAATGGAAGTCTAAGATTACCGTGCTTATTATCTATGTTATCGCAAAGACCTCGGCCGCACTTTCCCGTTTGAAAAAGTATGGAGGGGTGGGGGAAATGTCTCAAACCATTTTTGAACAATTTGCTCCATCCAAACTCCACTTCCCCACCACCTGATAAATAAATACTGATTATTGGATGGAAGTTTCTAGTATCGACGGTTTGTTACTCGTACAGCTCACAACGTCACAATCTTTCGAGCCACCATTAAATAAAACGTCAAATACGGCGTAAATAAATCGCGGCTTCAAGACTGTATTGTGGGTATCAATCTCATCACATGCAACTCAACGCTTGCCTTTTGGTTGCATCGCAACAACACGATGGGTTGATGGAAGAGATGCTTGAGCCTTGAGCTGAGCACCTGCCAGATTTGATTTGTGTTTGACAGATGAGTGGCAGAATTCTAGAATCCTATTCAATCAGGGAAATTGGAAGGGATCATCAGGTTCAACCTCAATGGAGTGGCAAGTCTTGTATTGCAGTCTGACAAATGCATTGCTAGTGTATCTGAATGGATTCGCTGCAACTAAAAAGATGCTTGCTGCAGGACCATCTGAATGTTACCCTACATAGTACATACCCAGGTATGCACTTGCTTTAACTGAGGGGCAAGTGAATACAAAATAAATATGATGCTATTCGACAACAACAAGCAAATGCCAATAATCCGTACGGCAGGCGTATTTAGATTCAAACCTAATTACCCCTAGCACATGAAGCTTGACTTTGTTTCGACGGTATTACCTATTACTTACCCTGTCCCATGCTAAGACCCCAGACATTTCGGCAAAAGCTGGGTTCGGTTTAGCTAACTAGTAATTATCCATGATCCTTCACTCAAAAGTTCGCACATTGTTCTGTTCATTTAAGACTACTTGTCTACCCAGTTTTTGGGAACTCTGTCTTCAGTCTCCCTCAATATCCCCAATTGAAAACATAAGTCGAGGTTCTTGTGCGACTATCCTTCGAGGAAAATGTTCAATCGCAACAAGAAATCTGCGGCTGATGCCAATGATCTTGCTATCGATTCCAATTCGAGTCCGCAGAATCATGACCCTCTCGCCAATATTCCAAAGACAAGATGGGAAAAACTCTGGCCCGCTATGGCCTGTGGTTCAGGATTATTCTCTGATGGTTACATTAATAACGTATGCTAATCTTCCAGCCATGAGTTCGGGTATGATAAACATACTAATATGTGCGTACAGGTAATCGGATCGGTATCTACTATGCTCGGAGTAATCTATGGAGACGTTTACACAAAATCTGCCGCCGTGAAAAATATCTCCGCAATCACATTTGCTGGTACGGTTGCTGGTATGCTCATATTTGGTTATACCAGTGACAAATGGGGCAGAGCAAACACACTTACGCTGTCCACGGTAATTCTTATCGTCTTCGCTGCTCTTGGCGCTGGTTCATATGGATACCACGGAAGTGTACAGGGTCTATTCGCTGCACTTGCTGCTTATCGTTTTCTGGTCGGAGTCGGTATTGGAGGAGAATATCCGGCTGGATCTGTCGGTTGCTCCGAAGCTTCTGGAGAATTAAAAGAGGGTACCAGAAACAGATGGTTTATCATCTTCACGAACGTAATGATTGATTTTGGTTTTGTCATCGGCGCTTTTATACCATATTTGTTGGTTGTCATTTGTACGGAAGACCATTTGCGAGCTGCCTGGAGAATCTCACTTGGACTCGGCGTAGTCCCACCACTGCTTTTGTTCTATCTTCGATTAAAATTGAAGGAGCCAGAAGAGTTTCAAAGGTATGTGCCATGGCTGTTGAATGTTCCTCGAACTCGCTAACCATAAACAGAGAGAGCATGAAAAATGCCAAAATTCCCTATGGTCTTGTAATTAAGTACTATTGGTTTAGGCTATTGATAGTTTCCTTGATTTGGTTCATCTACGATGTATGTGAATATTCAAACCATCAAATTAGTTTACTTATACTAACACATAAAAATAGTTTTCAACCTACTCGTTTGGCATTTACTCCTCTAAAATTCTCAGTAACATCTACGGAGATACGGCGCCACTATCTCAATCATTCGGTTGGAACACCGTTATCAATCTCTTCTATATTCCTGGCGCTGTTCTTGGTTCTTTCTTCTCCGATATGGTCGGGCCTCGCTACGCTCTTGCCATAGGAGTCACATTGCAGGGTATTGTTGGCTTCATCATGTCCGGCTTATACCCAGTGCTGTCTCAAGTCAAGAATGTCCCCGCATTTGTCGTCGTATACGGAATCTTCCTTTCCCTCGGTGAACTCGGTCCAGGTGACAACATTGGACTCCTCGCATCCAAAACTTCCGCGACGGGTGTTAGAGGACAATACTATGCCATTGCAGCCGCTATTGGTAAAGTTGGTGCCTTTGTTGGTACTTATGTTTTCCCATATATTGAGGCAGCAGGTGGCAGTGGAAATGCTTCTGCGCAATACCCATTTTACGTTTCGAGTGCGGGATGTATCTTGAGTGCGGCTTTGGCGCTCTTCTGTTTACCACATATTGGACAGGATACTATCACAACGGAAGATGCAGCTTTCAGAGAGTATCTGGAGAGTAATGGATGGGATACCAATCAAATGGGCTTGGGAAAGGTGGATAATATTGAGGAGTCTCCTATTAGAGAGGAGACTGGAGAAAAGCTGTAGGAGACTGTTTCTTCTTTGTAAGAGGAGAGGGGTAGCTTTAATAGACAAGGATTGGAGTGATTATGATAATTAGAAGGGAGCTAGACATGAGAAAGAAGTATGTAATGAAGTAATGACCTCGTAGAGAGATATCTACCTAATGATACTATTAATCTTCAATCATCTGAAGATATTTGTGTTTTGTATCATTTAGTGTCAACATGTGACGCGGTAATACTTAGGTAGTGGAAGAAGACGTTGATTATAAGTACCTATTGGATGAAAATACTCCACGTTACTGGAGTAGTCCTTGCCCTGTATTTCAAATCTAGAGTATGCTGTCACTTTTGTCTTTATATGGTGCCTAGTATAAAATGATATGTTATCGATTTATACTAGTGTAATAGAGTGTCATGAGAGCGTTCTCTACCTCTCTGTTTCATGCTTCAAGTCTTTTGCTTCAAGTGTTTTGCTCTTTCCTAAAGTTTATAGTTCATAATTCATTACCACGGAGTCCTGACTCCTAAGTCTTTGAGGAGGTATGGATAACGTGAATAGGATGAGATATATTGTTTACAGATGATCTGGAATCTGGAGTTGAGATTAATGTGGTGTGGGGTGGTTTGCGGTGCAGTAGTTGTGTGCTTTGGGAGGCTAAGCCTCTGGGGAATTAGGAATGAGTGGGTGAATTGGAAGTGGGAAGGGGGTGGAGAAGGGGGAGGGGGTAATAGCGATGGAGTAAATCGAAGAGGTGTCTTGGTGAATAGAGTTTATAAAAGAAAAGTCATAAGACAGAGATTGTGGAATGGAAGTTGTGGGGTTTTTTATGGGAGAGTATATTTGGCGGAATATGGATAGCGGAGAAAATTAGTGATTAGGAATTAGAGAAGCTAGGGTGGGTGGGTGGACGTGGAAGTTGGGAGTTGGGAGTAGGAGAGGAAATCAGTATAGCTGGAGATTTTTAGACACGGGAAAGGAGTGCGTAGGCTTGTAGGTTTGTGTTCTTCTGTTTAGTGCAGAGAGGTTTTGAAAGAAGTTTCGATCTGTATGGCGAGGAACATGGACAGATGTTCTGCTAAGGGAATGATGAGGGGAGTGGGAGGGGTAAGGAGGAAATTGAAGATTATAGGTTGTGTCTGTGTGAATTCATTCATTATTGAAAATTATTTGTTTCCATGTGGATTTGACGTACAGGTGAACACTGATGTTCTGTAGAGTCTTGGGTCTGAATGCATTTGAAAAATTTGATCATTTGAGTGTTCACAGTTATCTCAATGTTCAAAATCATTTCAAAGATGTCTGGATGTTCAGAGCCGTTTAATATTCAAATGCAGTCGGATAAATTAGATTGCTAACTCCAAGATACGTTGACATTCCAAACAACTTCAGTGTATTCCTTTACCATTTCAATCACTCAAACGAAAACGAAAGCGAAGATTGCAGTTCAAATAAGTGTAGACGATAAGATTTCTTACCAGCCAATCTACTGAGAGGAAAACATTCTATATGATCGTAATCTCTCGCAAATCTGCAGATCCCCTTTTGAAGACCAGTGACTTATCTCCTGTCTGTTCAATATCACCAAAAGTGGATAGAAATGGATCTTCTATAAGAACTTTCCCGATGTGCCCAATTTCGACTGGAATCCATTTAGAGTACTCCAATAGTCCCACACGGCGATATTCGTTGTTAGTGACATCAACGCGCTCGAGGATAAGGCCGCTGAGATATAACATCCTCTCGGAGGAATGTAGATGGAGAAGCAAACAGCATAACTGATTTGTTGAAGTCTTAGTTCTCATGTTGGTATAATCCTCTCATATCATTGCAAAGTTGAGTTCGCCATTGCAGAGGACTTTGCTTCGTCCTGATTTTTCCTCTTCGTCTAAGAGTTCAAAATCGATCATTTGTCCTAGAAGGTTTAGATGACTGCCTTGGACTTGACCACATTCATCTTCGCCGACGAGACACGTTACTGCTTCGAGGATTTCAACTAACGGATAACACAAATCTGGACTGAGTTCATTGTCAAATAAAACCTGTCCATCGATTGAAGCCCAAGACCATGATGGTGCTTGATACATCGTTGATGGAAAGCCGTCACGGCGAGACCACCACGCTAGCTGAAATACGAGATCAACTTCCCAAAGACCAGCCAGATATCGAGATCGTATCAAGGGCTGCACTTCTCTTGCTATGGTTGAAATAGCGACGAGCTTTTCGGACCCTTTAGTTAATTCGCCCAATGAATTGATGGAGACTGCTTCATTCCAGATCAGAAAAGCAGTGTCTAAGCGCCGACGTTTTTATGACAGGTTCTCTGCCTCGAAATTAATATCCAGTTGGATATTAGCCTTGGTATTGAAAGGGATTTCGGGTTTAAAGTCTCCTTTTTCATCCTTGGGCATTCCATATGGATACGACTCTGAGGCTTGTAACTCTGTACATTCCCAGAAGAGCTGTCGATTTGAGAAATGGAGGACTCGTGGACTAAGATAACGCTATAGCATAGTATTAGAATAGCAGGCTTAGTGATCGTTCTCGTCCTATACAACCACATACCTCCTGAAAAATCCAAGAGCGACTTTGACGGGGGTATTTGTGACATCATCATACTAGGTACATAACCCGTTGAGCTCATAAATACAAGTCAGATCCATAGGCTTAGATCCTTCTGGTCTATAGGTTGACTCAGATGTGGGCCCCTTGGTGGCATCAGGAAGGTATGTTGATTTCTGAACAAATTTGACTCTGGAGGGTAGGCAAATGTTCACATCACGATCGAAGAAGCACCCTACTGTATCGTTCTCTGCCGCTGTAGCAGTGATAGTGCACTGCGAGTATTTGTAGACCCTATCCATAAGAGATGCTCGTTGGTGCCAATCATCCTGAGAGTCTTGAATAATACACAGAGAATCTATCCAGATATAATCCAGCCCGAGCTTTTGACAAATAGTAATGGCATGATCAAATGTCTTCATAGATTGAAGATTAGGCATCCCTCGTGTCCAAGAATCAATGTTGTCTCGCATTAAGAGTAGTCTCTGGGCATCGGGAATTTTACCCCAGCAGTGAGATAATGTGGCATACTTCATCCCTAGTGAAATTTTACCCGTTTCGTGCAAACACAAAACTATCGCATCCATATTTTTGACACAAATCAAGTGGTTGGGCGTCCATTCCTTCAGCACTGAGGGACGATAACGCTTGCAGCTTCGATACGAACTTAGACATGTCTCTAGCCAATTATTAGCAAGCGTAAAGCAAGCATCGGACCCCGTATTGGTAGTTTCATAGTAACCAGGTAGCAATAGTCGATCTAAAAGCGATTTTAGTATGCTGTACACAGGTTTCAGGGACTGTTGAATGTCGTAAAAGAGATACTTTTAGAAGGATCAACCGGTACAATACTGTCTGCCTCGTAAACATTTATAGTCTTGGGGAATTCGAAAACTATTTTCACTTCAGGGTATTTCATAGACCATCTGCAGAACGATTCAAAAGCCGCAAATCCTTTAGCAACAAAATCAGGGTCGTTACATAGACTTTCGATGTACATCCACAGTCTCTTACACATGTAGCAACCTATAGAAAGTGCCTTTTGGAAGGCATCATAAGTAGAACGGTGTGTGAATTTTCCTGGAACTTTGTACCCGTTCATGGCACGACTTTTCGCTTGTGCCTCCCCTATTGTTCGAAATAAATCTACACAAGTTTCACAGAACATTGTAACTGGAGACGGGGTACTTGGTAATTGTAAAAATATGAAGAAGATTACAATCTCGGCGCGGGGTAGAAGATCTTTTTAAATGTCAGGTGTGTTTGTTACCCGAACAAGGCTCTGACTGGATGAGAGTAAATTATTCGATTATTGGTTATGCTAGATTTAAAGACTATCTTTCGATGAGGACGACTAGCCGACAAGTAGAGCTGACACATTGATTTACGATGTGGGTGCGTCGATCATTATGTATTTTCTACTTAGAACCCACAAAGTCGAGGATGTGAGGTACACATGGTACCGCCATACCAATTACAAACCCTGGCAAGCTTCTGTTGATCAAGGGTGCGATATGTGTACTTTCTTGCACAGCGCTTTTCCGGCTCACCTATTATCAATATTGCAACTTGACGAGTTGAGAAAAATCTACAAAGGTGTCGAGAGGCTGTTTCTATGGCAAGTTCTCATACCATCGGATAGAAATAAGTCTAATAGTAATATCCTCCGGATCAAAATCGAACCATGCATAAAATCTGAATCATTATCAGACTCCTCCATCCTCAGCTCCAGGCCAAGGTATCCACTGAGAAAAAGCGGTATGGCAACACCCCAGATTTCATGTTAAATACTGAACAACAATAGATGCCCACTCAACAACAAAAGTTAAGGATATGGGCTACTCAACGAAATCAAACTGTTCTTGGGCTCTTGTCGCTAAATGGCTAAAGACTTGTCGAGAACAGCATGCCTCATGCTCCGAGAAAGATCGCGACGACCGTTCTTGGTGTCCGACACAACTGCTGGAGCTTTACTATAAGCCTTCCGGAGAAGATGTGGTTAAACTAATAGGAACAGCCTATGTGAAGCCAGATGGTGATCACATAACCCTCAGTCACTGTTGGGGCAAGGGAACTCTGATCAGAACACTCCGGGAAAATTTGCCAGACTTTCTGATCCAAGTGGCAAGTCTCCCAAAGACATTCCACGATGCAATTCTAGCTACAAGAATGCTTGGCGTTCGGTATACATGGATTGATAGCTTGTGTATAATTCAAGACGATGCAGATGACTGGGCAAAGGAGGCACCTCTTATGCATAAAGTGCATACGAACGCGATGTGCAATCTGTCCGCAAGTGCTTCAGAAATAGTAACGACGGTTTGTTCCGGCCTAGCGCTCCTCGTTTTCTGTCAGAGTTAAATATCAAACTGCGAAAGACCGACTACGACGTTATTGAAGAACATCTTTTCGACGGGGAAGTAGAAGATGCACCGTTACAGCAAGTAAGCTATCCATGCAGCATGATCCGGTATTTCAGTAATTGTTGCCAAATTCTAATCCATCTCTTAGCGAGCATGGGTTCTGCAAGAAAGACTTTTATCACCCCGGATCATTCGCTTCTGGCATAGTCAACTTTCATGGAAAGCAATGAGCTTTGCGCTTGTGAACCCTTTCCTAATGGACTGTCCGATGACTTGCATTACAACAGCAAATTACGATTGTCTTATCTGATACAAGCTGCAACGTCGCAAACGGAGTTGTCAAAATATAATCAAGTCAAATTCAGAATATGGGACAACGCGTTACAGAGTTATTTCAAAAGGAAAATTACTATTTAATCCGATATACTGCCTGTGCTATCAGGGATGGCCAAGCATATTGGAAAGCTGCTCGGTGATAGATATCTTGCAGGTATCTGGAAAAACAGCAGCAACATGTTTCAACTTGCTTGGCATTGTACATGGGAATTGAGCTCTCGGCTAGATTACAGAGCTCCAACATGGTCTTGGGTATCAGTGGATAGCTATAGTGCGGTGCAGGCTGCATGTCCAGAAGACTCCGATCGAATTGATAAATCCGGCGAACACTTCTATTGTAGTTCTTTCTCGAAAATCATTGATGAACAAGTATATCTCGCCGGCGACGGCATATTCAGTTACGTTAAGGATGGGTATATTACGGTGGAGGGGCCTTTAAACTATATATTGATACGTTCTGGGATGGGCTATCTTGACGAAATCGAGATGAAGATAAACTTTGATGTTTTGTTTGATGTTCCTGAGGATTTGTAAAAAAAAATTATCATCATCACGATGATGAGGTGGATTACTCGAAAGGTTGGGAAAATGGAGATTTTCGTTATTATTATGTATATCTTGTTCTAACCACATCTACAAAGCACCCGAACTTCTATGAACACGGTGGTTTGGCAACTGCTCAATGTTTTGACCCATATGGCAAGAAGAAGCAAATAGAGCCGCCTATAAATGCTCGGAATGGAGAGAAGCTAGCTTGCGAAGAGTATCTCGGAAGGGAAAGATATAGATTCCGTATCTATTGACTTCGAGGTGTTTGCGAATCTCAACAAGGTCATATCTGTTATGATGATGACAATAATGCAGCAATCACGGAAACTTAGGCTCAATGATTAGCCAAATCTGAAGGACTTTAAGTTCGGTAGTTGGTTAATCATAGTAGACCCCGAAATTGGAGTACCAACAGTATCAGCAATGTGGGGTTGATGATGATGATGATGATGAAGAATACGAAGGTCAATGTAGCTAGGAAGATTTCTTTTCATTTAGGGCTTCCTGAGTTTTATGTCTCCGTGGTATGAATAAACATGCATTCATTATCGTTTTTGAGGCTCTACATCAATTGTCAAGCCAGAATGATAGAGATGATCAAACATTTAGATATCCAGATTCTAGAGTAGAAATCCTTTTCCAATTCTACACAGCTCAAAATAATGACTTTTAACGAAAGAAGTGGGCGATATATACATGTCCATTGATCAAAGCAACTCATTGTTTCATTTCATTTCCGTCCTGTTTCCCTCACAAATAACCTCCATTCATCATTACCAAATCCATTCATTAAGTTCCAAACGCCATTCCCTCCATCCATACCCTATCATTCATTCCATTCCATTCGTTTCCCTACTCATACATCTCACATACGTACAAACAAACATCATACATAGATCATCTCCCTCCAACAATTGCTCCTTCATTCATCTCGACAAAGGACTAACCGGACTAATCGGACTCACAATCCCATCCCTACCGGAGCCAATTCCTCCATTATTCCCAAGTAATCCTCTAATTCTTATTTCTGCTTCTCTAACAGCAGCACTCTCATCCGTACTCACCATTGGGCTTCTAAATCTCTTCAATTGAGACGCCTGAGACAACATTGAAGTTGGCGGTGGAGGAAATGATGTTTGTGGAGCTTGATATGAAGACGAAGGTGTATTATATGAAGATTTTTGATATATCGATGCAGGGGTCGAAAAGTTATATCCTTCTGATCCTCCTCTTTGAAGCGAGCTTTTTCTCGCAGGATAGTAAGTAGAAGAAGGTTGAGATATCGTACCACAGTCCGAGGTCGAATGTAATAATGAATTGCTCCTCGGAATCGTAACTACTTTTGCCGTACCTCTGAGGGCTGTAGGGCTTGGTGGTTGTGGTGGTATTTGTGTTTCTCTTTCTTTAAATACGCGCGTTCCAAAGTCTAATGTAAAAGGCCCGCGTTTGCGTTCTCGGTCAAAAGATGATGATAGAGCTGATGAAGATGGAACGCCTGAGCTTTCCGTCGTGATGGTCTTGATAGTTGAGGCACGTGAATACGAATGGTTTGTGTGGGTAACACTAATAGGAGTTTTGGGATCTGAGTTGTGGTTATTAATTGCCGAATTCGGACCTACAGCCAAAAAGCCGACTTCGCGTCCTGGATAACCTTGTGCTTGGTGTTGGTTTTTAGCCGATAATATTACAGTTGCTGCAGTAGAAGGAATGATTATAGGCGTGTGAGCCATTTCGCTCCTGTTTGTAATTGTCGTTCCGCTTGGACTGGTGTTACGTTGTGAGATAGACTTCAATGTACCGGGGCTTTCGTACCCAGGCAGCTCAGCAACACTATTTCGTGGACGTTTGGCTTTCAGACGATACCAGAAACGATTGGATTTATTCTTGAAAGTGGAAGTCTTGGTATCCATCCATGTATTGGGATGAGTAGGTGGTGATGGGAAAAATGGAAGAATAGATCCGTCTGGGTCAGCCTTTTCGGACGATGGATGCCGACGCCTGTATTGAACAACGAAAAATATAAAGAGACCAGCCAGAGCAGCGACACCTATAGCGATAGGAACGGCAATTACCATTCTTTTATGGGCATTGGCTATGGAAATCGGAGTCTGCGTTGGAGTTTCTGTAACAGGTTGAGGAGAGGCAGTGGGCGTTGGTGCAAATAAGATAGTTGTTACGAGAGAAGAAGGTGAAGTAGTCGCTGAAACGACAGGTGTCAAAGGAACAGTCGTAACGAGCACACCATCCGTTGGATTATGAATCACCCCGGAACTTGTGATCTGAGAGGATGACAGAGAGCGTACATTAGCCATACCCAGAGATATTTGATCTTGCGATTCATCTCGAATTACAGAGTCCGGCCCATCTGTAGTATTGCACGCAGCATTTGCAGCGCTCATAGAAGGGCTAAAATCTTTACCCGTCATGTTCGTGAGAGAGAAACGAGGTGAGAAGTTTGTGAGAACTGGAATGGAGGTTGATGGATAGTTCGTCGTGTTTATGGGGTTCGATTGAATGCCGAAGAAACTGATATTTGTCAAATCAACTGATCCGAGTGACACGAAAGCATTATATCCAACTATCCGAACTGATGAACCGGATTGTAAATGCTGTGAAAGTGATTGCTTACTAGGAGTTGTTTGCATTGGGTCCGATGTTTGAGTTGAGGTGTATAGTTGCATTGTATGTTCCAACGGGGATGACCCATTCATTCAAAATTTGCTATACAAACATTAGCAAATTACTCGAAATACTTTTCGAGGCAGAAAGTTTCCAAATACCATAACGTTATTACTTCCAGTAAACAAAACTAACAAATGGCTACCCATCTCCTCGATCAAAAGCGCATTCCCATCTTCCCTCCACCAAAGAGTTACATCTCCCGAACCCAAGGTGGCTCCTGGATAGGGCCATGTGAAAGCAACATCTGCCTTGATGCACCCCAGGAAAACGCAAAATACGAGGAGAGAGACCAGACGTTGCATCTTCAAGTAAGGTCTTCTTTAAAATTACAAATATGCATTTTCCAAAGGAGCACTTGATGAGCCAAAAAAAATATGTAAAAACAGATATAAACCTCACGTATAGGGATAAGGTCATTCTTATTAGAACCCCCGCAAAGATACTCGCATATCATGCAGGTAAAGATATATTTGTGTAAAATGAACAGACGATACCATGCCACCACAGATACTACCACACTAAATGAGAAGTAAAAATAATTGTGCCGAGCGAGAAGGCAGTAAGTGGTTACTTACGATTGCTGTTCCATGAATACTGTTGGCCCTTGCATATACTGACAGCTGTGCCGCTCAACCTCGTCAATTTTGAGAATCTTCATTCGTTGGACCGAGGCAACTGCGCCTCTTCCCGCCGCTAATGTGGTCAGATTTTACTGCATGTTATTGAAAAAAAGTAAGATTGATAAATAGATATCTTGATTAGATGTGAATATTTGTTTGTTGGAGAAACTGCGTTACGATGGTGAAGATCCGCAACGTCATCTAGGCTTTCTTCACTTGAAGATCTTTCACAATTGAAGAACAACATGTTGTAAAAATCTTGCTACTTTACAATCGCTATGTTTCATGCAGAGAATGCAGAGAATGCAGTATAGTTTTACGATTCAATAAAATAAGAATGTTGGATTCGACATCAAACTCGATATAGTTAAGTAAGAGCGAAGGATGAAAAAGGTTGTATTGAAGCTGCGCTGTAACATTCGAAAGAGAAAATCCTTCATTGTGATCAGGCTCCAAGGACAGCATACGTTCATGTAGTACAATGGTACATTAACCGGGGGAACAAACTTCCACTATCTACACGGTGGTGTACCATTCAGGGTTCATCAAACACGGGACGGAAACGTTATGAAAACACACCCGCACGTTGTTGAAGATTGTTTTCCATACATAATAAGTGGCTTTTGGCTGTCTCGAAAAGTTGGTTGAAGGTGTATGGAAATGATATTTTACTTGCTTGCATCAGAGACATGATTGTTGATCGCGTAAGAGTTATTTAAAGATGCAAATATTTCAGGGAATTCGCTTCATATCTCCATATCTCTCTATAGTATAGTGTAAGATACTTGGGTGCCCCCCATGTACCCTCGTGCGGGGTGTCCTGAGTAGAAAGGTAATACTTGCCTAACCGAGTATAGCAACTTCAATTTCGCTATTCTCACATGCAGTCTGCCCGAGTAATCCTTCGCTACCACGAGGAGTAAATTGAAAATGAAGATCTTCTTTGTAAACGAGAAGATTCATTATCTCAAAGAGCGGATCCCAATGTTCTTGAGAGAATTTTATCCGCGTGGAATACGTGCGTTTTTTACAAAACGAGGAATTCTAGATGTTTGAGGGAAGACCGCCTGTTTCTCGTTCTCATACACCAAAAGGTTAAGTTCGTATCTGTGTTCTAATTCCAGAAACCCATTCAGTAATTAAGGCTCCCTGCAGCCTGTGAAAATTATGCTTCACTTGTGGGCCCGGGACACCATTGTAAACTGTCTCACACCCAGTCATGTGACAGACTCTTGCACCAGAACACAATCCGTTCAAAATCTTCAAAATTATTTGAGGCACTACTTGATTGACAGACATGAAATGAAGCATCAAAGTGTGCTAAGTGGTAGCTCTGATAGCTATCAATTGTTTCGTGCATGGTGTGTCTCTCAAGCTCTTTCTATTTTCCAAAACCTTGCTCCTACTCCTATCAGTCCACAAGCAGCACTTACTCCGGTGAAGACAATTACCGCTCCATACTCAGTGCCGTAACCGCCTCCCACGCCCCCAAACCCTCCATGTTCAACGAGCCATTCAGTAAGTGGTCCACATGCCACGCTTCCCACTCCTCTTCCCGCGCTAAATAGGCCCATCAATACACCAAAACTAACGCTGTTATCTGCGCGTTGGACCTCTCGTATCATACCTGCCCAGATAGCACTCCATCCTCCCGCAAAAGTTCCATAGATAATGGTGAATGTAATTAGAGATGGAAGGGAAGTTGAAATGCCCCATAGCATGAATACAGATAGAGTAGATAGAGTAGATGAGAGAAGCACGACGGTGGTTATATGTCTGACATCTGAAAGATGGCCTAGTGAAATGGCTCCGATCACGGAAAAGAAATTCAGGAGTGCGATGAGTGTTGTTCCAAGCACAGGGGAGAATGAAAGCGAAGCGCTATACGACGAAAGATAAATGGAAGGTGCGAAGAACCCAAGTGAGGAGAAGATATTTGCTATCTGTAGAAACCAAAATATGGGTGACCTAAGGAATGTGTAGCTTGGTTTTGATGGTGGTTGGCTAGAGAACTTCGTTGGAATCCTCGGTTTGATATAATAGATCAATGGGCAACAAAGTAGGAACAAGATAGCAGCCCAGATCCGGAGAGTACCGCGGAATCCACATCGATCGACAAGATATGACAGGAGAAATGGGAAGATGAGACCTGAAGTTCCCACACTGCCAAAGTTAGTTCGAGGTTTGGGCTACTGATATTCGATGCTTACCCTGACCACATAACGCCAAGTGCGAGACCCTTTCGCTTGACTAGCACACGGTCAGTAAAATGTAAGTAGAAATCACTTCTAGAGTAAAATGAGGAAGCAACGTGGTAGTGGAATTAAGGAAATATGGAAAACCCAAACAAAACTAGACATTATAACGATGCGAATTGACCAACTATAGTTGAACATGGCGATATATTGGGACAAGCAAAAAAATTTGGGCCATAACTGAGAAAATAATAATTACTTACCGAACCACTGATCGAGATAGAACATTGTTGGAGAGTACAAAAGGCTGCCTCCAATAGCATATAGAAATCCTTGAGTAGCAATGAGGTGCCAAACTTCTGTAGCGAAACTAGCTGCAACTAGCGCTATCAATACAATAACAAGCCCCACTATTGAAGATAGCCTGCGAATTGGCGGGAACTTCTCCAGAACGTAGAGGGAAATGGGCGCAAAAAGATACACTAATGATACCTTGTAAGTACTTGTTAAGGAGCGGAACCGAAGAGGGAGTGAAAAGGTTTTATAGAAGCATCTAAATAAGATAAAACTTTGCACATACTGATTCCAGTAGCACAAGTTCCTGTAATAGCTATACTGTTTGCATGTCTATCGAAGGGTGTGTGAGTAGAGTAGTATGTCTGGAAAACTCCAAAAGCGAACGGAAATCCTGTTGATGTGTTAGTTAACATGAAATACTCAATTTCTTTTCGATATGTTTCTAATAAAGCAACCATAGTTTTGAAAATTCGATAAATATGGTGATGTTCAGTGCTGTTCAGAAAATTGCCGCGATGAGGAGGACCTGCACAGGAAGGATTACCCCAGATTAATGCTTCAAATAAAAAGCATGCAGCTAAGAATAGCCAAGCATCTTTACCTCCATCTGCTCTGGGAACATTTCCATCCGTGTTGTCTGGGCCATTGATTCCTTCCTCCAAGTCTCGAGTGCTTGGATTTGAAAGTGGAATTTCAAGATCTGCAACAGTCGGTTGAACTTTGGCTTCGTCTGCATCAGAGCCGAAGAATTTCCTCAAAGGAAGATTAGAAGATGGATGCGCCATTGAGTGAAGGAAAACGTGAAATGGTCAGAGAGTACAATTTATATTCTTAGAGTTGCAGTGCGAAATTGAAAACCTCAAGCGAGAGAAATATTAACTCAATATTTTCTAAATAGGCGGCGCAAGAATGAGTGAATATATGAAGGCGGATATGTATGTTGGAAGAGAGGTTTGCCGCTTGGTGCGCTATATCTTGGTGCGAGGTGCATAGCACCTTCTCTTCTTGGGCAACACTTTCCGGTCATATACTTTGTGATCACCAACATGATTGTTACGCAAGCTTCAATTTCTAAATCTGGTAACCAGACAGCTGCATGATTCGAATCGTTATCTCCCGTGTGAGTTTGATGACGGTTGTGAGTCGTAAGTGAATTCCGGTAAATATCCAAGAGATGCAAGCAATCAGCTTCTTTGCCTTGAATCTACCTCCTGCTGCAGTGTGTCGATTCCATTCAGCAAACTAGCTCTCGGATTCGGGGCAGCAATCTCCATACGTCCAGGAGATGTGATTCTAGCCGAAAACAGGTCGCGATGTAACTTAAAGACAGGCAATATTTTATACTTTTCATCACTGATCCCGTCGAAACCTTTGCCATATCACGCCCAACTGCAGGAACAAATTCCGTGGTCAAACCAGGTGATCGCTCGGCCCGTGTACGAATGGCAACAAATACCGAGTGGACAGTGCTAAGGGTAAGGCTTCGGTCCAGTAAATTTCGAAATAGAATACCGGTAGAGTGGTTCATCAAGTATTATAGCAAGTTTGGCAAGTAGATCTTCGCAAGCAGGGCAATCTGCAGTGGGATGAATTCCGCGATCTAATATCGGAGAATCTTGCCGCCAAAGCTTTGTTGGCATTTGATTGGCGTTCCATATTGCATGGTACGATGCAAGCCAGTGGGAGTCGAGTTGGAAACAAGACTCCCACTCATGTACGAGTAAATTGCGCTAGATTCAAGATAAGTGAATGACACCATCTTAGCTGCATGAGTTTGCTCAGTAGTTGTCCTCCACAGAAGACACCATAGCATCATTCCAGCACCAACAAGCCGCAGCTAAAAAGTTGTATTCTTGCTCACTAACTACTTTAGTGGACGCTCTTTCTTCAGTGGAACTTCCATGCAGCGGGGAAGTATTACCACCCGTCGCTCCCGCTGATTTCCATACGGGCTTGCCGTAGCCTAACGTGGAACTTCCTAGAAGAGACTGTTCTTATCAGGTTGCCGAGCGTTCATATGATATGCTTCGTCCAATAGTGGTACGGACCCGTGTACTTTGCCTGTTGGTTGGTCGTTGGTTGTTGATTGCTAGTATCATGCACGGTTAATGTTACTCTGTGGGCCTGGAGTCTAAGTCCCCAGCTATGATACCCCACAAGAAGCGGAATTCGGCATATCTCGAGAGGTTGTCGGGCTGCAACATCGAAGAATTTCCGAAAAACAGTACCAACAACGCTAGCAGTTTCACACTCAAGTGCCTTGCACTCATTTCGCCGTCGATGTACGGATAGGCGTCAAATAAGCTTTACCAATGGAAAGATTTGTTCTAGAGTGGCTATCGTACTCGGTATGTAGGAATGAGGCGCTTTCAAATAAACATCGGGCCGACATGAGAAGGCGATACGGCATAGGCCCGGCATCGATGTTAGAAAATGCTGGCTTGCTAATTTTGGTTGCACGCTCTCAAGGGACCACTTTCATCGCCATTCAAAATGCTTTGACTTTAGTTGGGCTTTCCGCTATGTCGCAAACTGATTATTCAGTCAACTTTCTGGTATTGAATGTCTAGATGGCTCAAATCTTCAAGGATGATGTCGAATTTAGACATTGATTGAGGTCGGAAAGGTTGCTCTCAAGAGAACAGAGGAGGCTCGGTATATTTTCCAAAAGAGAACAGGTTCAGTCACATCGTGATTGATCGGGGGGTAAAAGTTGTTGCTACGCTGTTGTAGCCAATAGGAGCGATTCAAGGTGCCAAGAATTTTATTTACTGCCTGTATTAGCATGTGCCTTTCGATTCATGCCGGGGTGAAAGAATACCTCGGCGACCCAAATACCGTGAGGTATATCCAACACTGAATAAAGCCGGTCGGTCCAGCAGCCTTTGGATAGCATCTGTTGATCGAAAATGTTCTCAGCACACGGCAGATGAATATCATCATAGCTACCGAAGTCGATTGGAAACGCAGCCAACCCCACGTCCGTTAGGTGTGGTTTGATTGGTTTCACGGGGAGACGGGAAGTTCGACGAGAAAAAGAGGTTCTTAAAAAAGATATTGCTATGTCAAAAGCTTATAGGATAAGGGCTAGTAGGAAGCACACTGCCTAGAGAGATACCACCGTTCAACATTCGGTTTCTGTCAACAGAATATTTGGACAGAGTGTCCGTGATTAAACAAAACAAAATCGAGCAGATTTGTAATGGAGATTCCGAAAGAAAATTTGTTAGGAACAATCGGGTAAGGGCTTTCTAACCATCTTATACAAGTCTCGGTTATGAACTCCGGCGAACTCTGGTCCCTCGCCGTGATCTTTTATTTCATGAGATAAATTCCAGACTACTTAAACCTACAAGGTTGCAATGGCAATGATCCAATCTCGTACATACAATCTTATCATCCGTGACCAATCTGATAGTCCGGAAGAGAGCTGCTTGTCAAGTCTTGCGATTATTCATATGCTCTCCTGATTTTGAAACACCTTATTGGCAAATTATTTAGGCAGTCTTCTTCCATTGACCATAAACACCGATCAAACTGCTCAAAGTTCCTGCCAATCCAACAATACCATCATCGAAGTTAGCCAAGCCGATTGCCGAACTTGGAACTGTGAGATCGCAGAGATCTGATAGGAGTTGCATATTGATCGCAGCACGTTCCCTATACCGAGAAATTAGCAACAAGCCTGATACGGATATCTGTGAGGCTCAACCTACTTTTCGATCCTCTTACTAGTCACAACACTTTCTCCATCTTTCTTATCAATTTTTGCAGATTGTTGTCGCAGGTTATACAGAGAGTACATTCCCGATGCCGTGCTAAACAACAGTCCCATCAACCAGAAACGGTAGGCCTCCTTCTGTATCCTCTTCGTCGAAGGGCTCTTCCTAATACCCGCAGCATCCAACACCGTGAACGCATCAAAAGTTAAATAACCTGCATATCCTAATTGCCTTCCCACAGCGCAGTACTTGATTACCGGGTCAAGACTTTTAGAATCCGCAGCGATGGCAGCTGCTTTCAAATGTTCGACATTCTTGCCAAAGCGCATTAATTTGCGCGCGAGTCCGAATTGTTTTTTGATGGCCTCGTAAGGCGCAATTTCACTAGGAGTTCCATTGGTGCGAAGGAGATACCAGGCGTAAAATCTGGAAAAGTATTGAAGGGTTCGGAGGAGCTTATCGCGACCAACGGTTGTTGCGACAAATTTGAGGTAATGTGCAACGGATGGGTGGTAAACTAGAGTGTCGGCAACCATCTTGATAATATGAGTTATGGAATTAGGAAATGGAAGGAACGTATTGAGAAAATAAGACCAAAGGTGTTAGATTATAAGGTTGGAAATGAAAAGGGCGTTTGAAGGCATGAGATGATGAGATAGATGGCTTGTGAAAGGGATATGGCTATCTCAATGCCTCGGTAGTATGGGGAATCCTTGGTCCGATGATTTAATAAGCCGAAGTCTAGTTTTAAGGCACTCATGCAAACATCATGGCTGGCAGATGGCGAGTCACGTTTTATGAACTTTATTAAGCCAGAATTCGTACCTAGGTAGCTAGGTAGCTAGTGAACTAGTATTTACTGATAACTACCTATTTTCACGTTTTTCTTGTCATGCCGAAAACTTGAATTACATCCGGCTTCATCCCATCTTCGACCCTGCCCCTTTTAGTACAATTACAGCACATTCCGAGATGCCCGAAATTGCGGAGGGTAAAACCACCAGCTCATCTCCATCACCAGCTACTATGAGATACTGACTTGACCTTACAGTTGCGCGAGCTGTGTATTATATTCGAAAAAACCTTGTTGGCAAAACATTGGCGGTCGTTAACGCTCAAGATGATGCCAATGTTTTTGGAAAGGTCGGAACAAGTGCTGCCGAATTCCAGAAGGCACTGACTGGGAAAAAGGTTGAAAGTGCTGGACAGCAAGGAAAATACTTCTGGTTGGACCATTCTTGATGCTTCAAGAATCAATGCTAAATTTTTGTGACAGGATGATCATGTCCTCGCCACCACATCCAGTGTTCCACTTTGGCATGACGGGTATGGAAATAGTTGAAGTTATCTCTTGACAAGTGCTGAACGATTTAGGGTGGTTTCATATTCGAGGGCAAGGCTCTTACTATTATAGATCGAAAAATGAAGACGAAAAGGAAGTCTGGCCACCGAAGTTCTCGAAATTTTCACTGCAAACAACCGGAGAACCAAAGGTCGAGGCTGCATTCACAGATTCACGTAGATTTTCAAGGATTCGACTAGTAAATTGCGTCGCTGAAGCCATTCGAGACACTTCTCCACTTAAAGAGAACGGTCCAGATCCTGTCATCGATAAAGACATCTTGACAGCTGAGTGGCTCGAACAAAAATTGAACAAGAAGCAGGTGCCCATAAAGGCATTATTACTTGACCAAGCGAATATCAGTGGAATTGGAAATTGGGTCGGGTCAGTGAATCTTACATCTACCCCAGTATGATTTTTTGAATCCGAACTATCCAGCCTGCCATTATTGTTTCACTCCTGGTTACCAAATCCACCCTCAATGTCCAATCATGCTAACGTCACTTGAAGCGATGAAATACTATACAATGCACGACTTCATCCTGAACAATATAGCAACACTTTCAGCTCCGAAGAGATCAAGCGATTGCATACTTCGATGATGTCCATTTGTCAAACAGCAGTAGACTTGTTGGCAGATTCGTCAAAATTTCCTGATGACTGGATGTTCAAGCATCGATGGGGGAAGGGAAAGAAAGATGGCGCAACAGCATTACCAAACGGGGAGAAAATCACATTTCTTACCGTTGGGGGAAGAACGTCTTGTGTGGTGCCAAGTGTACAGAAGAAAACGGGTGCCGTTGCTGGTGATATGAAGAGGAGAAGTACGTCGAGTGATAGTGAGGATGGCAAGGATGTTCCAGTGAACAAACAAAGCTCAAGGAAGAGGAAGATTGCGGTGGCATCCGCGAAATCAAAAGATACTGATGAAGATATCAAGGAACGAAAGAAGGTGAAAGCCAGATCTCGAAAACCGATTCAGGTGAAAGAAGAGATTCTAAATGATAATGCGGGTGACATTTCCGCAAAAGCAAGCAAGCTGACTAAGGGGAAGACGTCAAAATTTATCGAATCAAAAGCCAGGGAGGATATTGCAACGATTCAACCGAGACGCAGATCTAGCCGTCAGGCAAAGCCTGTTGGATTCCTTTGAAATGAGGATAATGTACTATACCGAACGACTCATCCGTTCTCCAACTGTATTAAATCTGGGGAGAGATATTGTATTTTCATGTATGAATCTTTACCCGATTTTGTTTACTTCTCCATACCATAAATGATTGCTTACCTTCATGTTTGTTCAAGGGTTCAATCTTAAATTCTCAACCTAATGTGTCTGGAATGTTGCCAATGCATTGGCATACATCACATTACTAGTCGCGTGTGGGGTGTGAGCTTCTAGTCA